CAGAGAAACACCACGGCATACAGATTAAGATTCATGGAGCGTGGTATGTATGCCTCAGGAAGCAGGTGGTCAACAAGAAATCTTCGCGATTTCAACGCCAAAGAGTTTACGGTTTTGGCGCTCACACTCGGACAATCCAGGGGAGGCATGTGGTCTGAAGTCTGCTGTGTGAAACTAAACTAGGAGGCACCGTCACTATAGCAGCAACCGCAGAATGAAGAGTTTAGGGTTTAGGGTTATGGGTTTTGGGTTGAAGATTTTCTGTTTACGGTTATCAGGCTACCTTTGAGGCTGTAAGGGTCGCTTATAAAGGCGTACTATGAGGAGGTGTGTGTAGGGCGTAGGTTCAGAGCTTTTTTCATAAGCAGAAGGGATGGCTTCTAAGGGCGATGAGGCTTTGAGGGGGCTTGACCCCTTCATCAGAAAAAACCACAAAACACTGTTTAATCAATCCCGTTCGCAATGTCAATCTGCCGTCGATTATGCCTGCGCGCAAAGTTTCGCCTCAACCCCAAAGCCCCACCAAGCCCTAAACTCCATGAGAATCCCCGATCCTCTGCGATGCCTGAATCGGTCTACCTCGGCCCTGGAAGGTTGTTGGAAGGTACTTCAGCGGCCTGACTAGTCGCGCTACCCAAAAAGCCCAATACCCCTTAATTAAGGAATATAGCTTAAATCATACTATGCGCCCCCTTATAATTTAAGGTACATTCCTTAATTAAGGGGCCCCTTGGGCTCTCTGGGTACACCCCCGCACTGAGGCGCATGCTGAAGGAGCCAACGCGCGGCAGCCAGCCCCAGCTCTTCGCGATCCACCTGTTTTCGCGGGTACGTAGAGATTGGAGAGGGTTTAGGGTTTAGGGTTTAGGGTTTAGGGCTTTTTGACACTCACTCTCGGACTAGCCTGGCAAGGTCTGCAGAAGTAGGGTTTAGGGCTCAGGGCCACAACTACGGGTCTGTGGATGACGGGGCCTTGTAATCAAGATCCATCGAGGTTTGGTTCTTTGTGTTCTGAAGCTCCTATCGATCACGCACAAAGCATTTTCCAAAAGCCTAACCCGATGGTTGATCCTGAACTCCTACAGCCCTAGACTCTCAAACCGCGGACGAAGCTTTCCAGCAAGCAGGATCCGGCACAGCCCTTGAGCAAAAGCGCCTAAATCCTGAAGGTCCTAAACCCTAGGACCCGATCCGGCAGAACCCTTCAGAGAACCGCCCCAAAACCCTGCAAAACCCCAAACCCGATAAACCCATAATAAACCCAACAAACCCAATAAACCCAATAAACCCAAAATGAACCCAATAAGCCCAATAAACCCAATAAACTCAAGAAACCCAATAAACCCTAAACCCTGAGGCAAAGCGCCTGGATCCGCGCAGGCATGTCCAAACCGCCGCCGCGCTGCTGGCGCTGCGCTGGCTGAGAGGCAGGGCCTCAAACTTCTCCACCAAAACACGGTTGTAAAATAGTATAATATCATTAATAAGTGCATATAGATATATAGTAATATATATATATATATACAGATAAATATATATATATATATATATATATATATGTGTGTGTGTGTGTGTAAATATACACATATATATATATATATATATATATATATATATTTATTTATTTAATTTTACATATATCGCATGTAACATATCATATATAGTGCATAATGTTGAAAATGAGGTACACAGTGTGAGGCTCAAACGTTGCGTGTAGAGAGATCAGCTTAATCTTTGCCTGGATGCTGCTCCTGCGACGGTGCATGCTTTACGCTTGCGTCGTTTTAGCTACGCAAGATCGCGGTGGACACGGTCTCCAGAAGGCCACATTCAGTTTAAGTAAGTTGCAGTACATGAGCAACGGGTCACCTTTGGCCTTTGGCCGTCCTCCTGAAACCGCCAGTACTTGTGGGGAAGCATTTCGGCCGCGCTCTTTGTATACTTGGTGGCGGCGTCATCTTGGCCGCACTCCCGAATCCACCAGTACGTGGGGAAAGTATTCTGAGCTCTTGCAAGGGATTCTTACAACAGCTTTTCATAAGCCTTCTTATCGGGCTTGTCTAGGGGCTTATATGGTTGTACCGTACTTCGCTCTACCACATTGCACTATATTAAATAACACGATACTCGACTATGATGCCACAAAATGTACTGCACTATCTCATACTATACTGCATTAGACTATATTTATATTGCAGGTTCGAAGCTTAGCTTGGAGCAACGGCTCGCCAGACTGAACTTCACCTGAACCCCTGAGGGAGCCCTTAACCCTAAACAAAAACCGTAAACCCATGAACGGCGCCCAAGACCCTAAACCCTAAGCCCTTTCAAGAAAGCCCTGGACCGGACCACCTGAGCCTCCAACCCTACACGCTTAGGTGTGAGGGTTTCGGGTTGAGGGTTTAAGCTCAAGGCTTTGGAGGTCAAGAATTAGGAGGTTTAGTTTTTGGGGTGTAGGGCGGGATCCTTACCGAGGTTGGCGTATTGCAGAGTCTGACAGAAACATATTCGTAGACAGGACCCTCTGAAACCCGAAACGAGAAAATATAAATATCCCCCAAATGCATACCTGGCAAACCACCCCTTCCCAAAAACATCTTACAGAACTTTTGCATATTTCTGATAAGCCCCGAAACTATTTTTCTGCGGCAAGGGAGCCTCCCAAGCCGATGCGACCAGGAAGAGGCCCGCCACCACAAGGAGAGCCAGGCCGTCACCTAATGCAGGGGCCTTAAAGAAAGTATAGTCGGAAGCGAATTGTCAGGGAATAATGTCATATCGATTAGGACCTCTATGCCGAAGGGCTCGAGCTTCAGGAATATTCTCTAGTTTCTTACACGGGTTGTATCGGGTTCGGCAGAGGGTTGTTTCGACATCCTGAGCAAGGACTCACGACAACTGGTCCAGCGGAACTGGGCTTCACCCGGCCGTATTCAACCAAAGCCATAACATAGCCCAATAAGCTTCACGCCAAACCGTATACATCCCTATGCAGTTTTTTAAACACTCGATGGAACCATGCAATCAATCCGCACCACAATCTCCGCCAATCACCCGTCCACCCTGTGAAACAATTGGACTGCGCGCAGTCACTTTCGTATACATCCTGTTGTGAAGGTCTCCCGGCAAAGCCTACAGCACAAAACTCAACTGCTCGTAATGTTGCTGACGGATGCCTTGCATATCTCTGAACGGCTACGTTACTGGACTCGACAAGGGGCCTAAGCAAAAAGAATCCAGGCATATTCAACAAGGAGGCACATTCAACAGTGAGGCACATCCCACAAGGAGACCATGAACCGAACATCCCGGTCCCCCGAAAACATCCTGCACCCTCCCGAGTTCTGAAACCTATCCGAAACGACATGAACAAACAAAACTTCTCAATCTCGGCCAAAGTTACAGTGCTACAGTTCTACATGCGCACCTATGCACGTGTGACGCAAGCTGCTAACTGGCAGGAATAACCCGAGGAACGCCTATGCATGCAGCCATGGCACTTGTCGATGGCAACCGCAAGGCCGTGCCATCCTCCGACATGGGAGTTTCCGAAAATCGGGCGGGCTACCTTATCTTGGGGTCCTTATCATAAGGATCCGACTATTTAGGGTACTATATTAGGGTCCCCTATTTTTGGAAACTGCCACATGTGCAGGGAAGTTTGGGTGCTTTGGGTCGCTATTTGAAGTTCCTTAAGGGCCTTTCTCCTTAGGGGCTAGCGTTTAGGGTTGAGGGTTTAGGGTTTAGGGATTCAGTGCTTTGAGAGCAGTACGATTTTGAAGAGAATGCTCCGTTCCAAATGGGCACGGAATTGCACACGGTCATCAGATCGGGCGTCTACTGATGCTCAGAACTCGAGCTTCTGAGGCGTGTTCTTTCGCATGGACGACTCCTGCCGGAATTCGGGTGGGCCTTGACCATTCATCTTCGGAATCCTGTAGAACAGCTTTGTGAAGCTATCTGAAACCCGGACGAGAGAGACATGTGAACCACCTGGCCAGCACAGCTTTGGCTGAAAGCTCCCAGGTAAGGCTGGGTCTTCCGTTGTACTTGTTTTGCTTGATATTGAAACTATCACACATTCGACAGCTACGGTTATTCTTCTGCCTGGTTCTAATATCTCATGTGCCCAGAATGGTCTCACCAGTTCTACAGAAAAACAACACGAGTTTGTTCTTGCGATTCCAGAGGTCCAGACTCCACCCCACGTAACACCTGCCTGCAGGGTTTTTAGAGTCCGCTGAACACCTGCAGCGACACACACGCAAGCCAAAGCCCAGAAAGCCCGCGCACCCCGCCTCTGAACAGCCTCGAAGCCCTCAAGCCTGACCCCTCCCAACCCCACACCCGCAAAGGTGAACGGCTTCAAATCCTAACCGCAGCCGAAGCGGAAACCCTGCCTGCAGCCCATAAAGCCCTCTGGAAACCGATAACCGACGTAAACGCTCCGATGAGAACGTCTAAGAAACCTGCAGGCGGTACCTCCAGCTGTCCCCGTCGGCTCAGCAGAAAGCCTAGGCTCAAGTGGCCCCGTATGGCGTAGGAGAGCACCTCGGGCTAAGCATCGCTGAGTGGTCCACCATGTGAATCTGATTGCACGAACAAAATCTGCAACTCCGTCGTGAACATGAGAACATCAGACTGCAATCACAGCCTTACGGTGGCCTGCTGGTACAACCTCTTGGAACTGAGTTCAATCCTTTTTGTGAACACCATTGTTTGACTTCTCGCTCGAGGCCCCGTGCCTCCACGCTGAGCAAGGCGATGGGCCCGCTGCAGAGCACCTCTTCAGCGCGAGAGCTCAGGGTTTCAGTTCAGGAAGTTTGCCTCTAACATCGCCGCACGCAGTCTGCTAGGCTAAGAACCCAATACGTTAGTCACATAAATCATGCATCAGTGGTTCGCACGGCTTAACGAGAGCCGCAATGACTCGCACCGCCGTCGACCCCTCTAGCTGAAGTGTTGGGGCCTGTTTAACACTGAAATCTCGGCTACTTTGTCTACTCCGGCGTACCTCAGCAAACAGATGATGCTGAGCCCTAGCAAACCCTATTACTATCTATTCAAGCTTCCTCGCCACCCTAAACTCTGAACCCCAAACCCTAAACCCCCTAAATCCTAAAATCGACGGAGAAGCCTCGGCAATCGCGCTGCGCAGGCCTCCCTGCGCCGGAGCCAGGCGGCCTCGCAAGCGTACTTGATACTCGGGCCCCTGCCATTTGGGGCTTCGGGTTCAGAGCTTCGGCGAGAGGCTTTGGGCTTTGGCTGTGGATGCCAAAGAGTCGTGATTGCTTGGTTCTGCAAAGTTTTAATGCCGAAATATGGGTCTTCGGACTTGGGCCAAATGGTCAAAGCTTTAAGGCTGGGCACGAGCAAACTATCAACTCAAACCGTACGGGCACCGTATGCAGGGTCCTCATAATTCGAAAAGCACCCCTGAGCTCATACTGTAGGGGCCTTAATCATTACCGATCCTATTTTGGGGCCTCCTTATAATAGTTACAGTAGAATATAAGGCCGCTCTGTTACACGAATTCCCCGCCGCCTGCGAGGCGATCCAAGCCCAGAAGGACCAGCTGGAAGCAGGGCAGGGAGAGTGCCACCTGGAGCAAGCCGGGGCTCTTGGGCTTACTCATATATATATATATATATGTATATATATGCTACCCCCCCCCCCCAGATACCAATAGAATTGTGTGTTTTGTGCTCTAAACCCTGCAATTCATGACACCAAGACACTCGAAGGTCTCAGATACTTCTATTGCACGACCAGAAGGTGATTTTGTTCATCCCCTAGATCCCGCAATTCAAGACGCATGCATCCAGGAGGCGCTTAATACAGGGCCAGGCAAGCCTGACTACATTGATGCCATACACATACAGGATGCTTCAGCACATGATAGGTAGTAACGGTTTAATGGCACCCTCTGTATTACTTAGACGTGCCTCTAATCTATCACCCATCCTTCCTTATCGCACGCTAATAATAGTACAACCCTAACACCAACAACTACCACTACCACTCCTCCTCGTGCTGCTGCTGCTATTACTGCTACTACCACATTACTACATGTTTAGTTAGGTCTATGTGTTTCAGCGTCATTCCACATCTTGCCCCAAATGTATCCAGGCGACCTTTTCCTAGACCATGTCTTCTCACCATATTGCTCCTAAATTTCGTATCATGATATTAAGTTAAATCCTGTCACATATCCAGCTATTATCAAGATGGTCATAACAAACCATCACAAGAACCGTACTACGACTACAATCTACTACTGATACTACTACTACTACTGCTGCTACTAACTACTACTACTACTACTACTACTGCTACTACTACTATTACTACTATCACTACTATCACTACTACTACAACTGTTACTACTACTACTACCACTACTAGTCAATCCATAGTATTAAACGCGATTACACTGTACCTTTATCCTGTTATACTACTACCTCCATACCCTTATGCTAATCATCATATTCCTGCCACAATGCCTTAAGCAAGCTTTTCCATCCTATCATAAATCAAAAAGCTACCCATATTTATGGGTTTAGATGTAATTAAGGACACAGCATTAACATATCATTCACTTACATCAGTCTATCTCATTTACCTAACACACGTAAACAGTGCTCACTGAAGTAATCAAATATCACACTCATCACCCTAAACATAAAACGTCAGTGAGACTGGCAACCAGAAACAAAACACACCCTTCTACCATATCCAACAAACACTTACAAAAATAGCGCGAGAAGAAAATCTGCAGTGCGTTTTGCGCGGGCGCCGCGCGCGTGACGGAAACCTTCCAAAAGATCGCTTGATTGAGACAGTACAGTGGTTTCGTTAATTTTATTGTAAAAGTGCTGTACTGTCCCAAAAAAATCAATCCTTTTTTGCAAAAGTGCTGTACTGTCCCAAAAAAACCAATCTTCTACAGTCTTGGAGCAGCTGCCGTGTAGGGGCCTCCAATAGATCCAAGACTGTAGAAGATTGGTTTTTTTGGTTTTTTTGGGACAGTACAGCACTTTTGCAAAAAAAGATTGGTTTTTTTGGGACAGTACAGCACTTTTGCAAGAAAAGCAACAAAAAACACAGTACTGTCCCAAAAAAACCAATCCTTTTTTGCAAAAGTGCTGTACTGTCCCAAAGAAACCAATCTATTGGAGGCCGCCAAACGGCAGCTGCTCCAAGACTGTAGAGATTGTTTTTTTTTGTTTTTTTGGGACAGTACAGCACTTTTGCAAAAAAAGATTGGTTTTTTTGGGACAGTACAGCGCTTTTTCTAGTTTGCGGAGAAGTGTGATGCAGAGCGAGTACTCAAGTGCTGAGCATCCTGCTGCTATACTCAAAGTGGTGCAAGTGCCCTCTAAGGCCACCAAACGTTCATGGAGAGTCTTGTCACAAGTCTCAGCCAAGAGGGTGCTCGAATGCTCTGTTTTTGTCTCATGGTGCTGCCTGCAGAAGGAAAACACAGGAATGTATTGGTGACTGGGGGGGGGGGGTACCATGTATATATATATGTATAAATAGAGAGAGAGAGAGAGAGAGAGAGAGAGAGAGAGAAAAAAAAAAAGAGGGTTTAGGGGTTTGGGGTGTTGAGGGTTTGGGTTTTTTTTTGCCTCCTGCATGGCCTGGTACGCGAAGCAGGGAAATATGTGACATAGTATGTGAATTCACCCTGATTTCAGGAGATCGTCACTGGGTCATTGTCCAGCTGAACAATCAGTCCATGCATAAATCCCACGGCAAGTTTCCATAGGATCACAGTTCGACTTTCACTCAGCAAGTTCAGATCAAGGCTTCGCAGAACATCATTTAGGGCTTTGGGTTTGGGTGTCACCAGTCACGGGGTCTTGCGAGGTTTTTTATGTTTTACACGCGCTGGGCGAGATGCCCTGCAATTGGGGTCCCACATTGTGGCTCCTACCACAAATTCCTACACCCTCAGAACCCCACTGCCTCCTCTCTGCCGTTCTTCAGCCGACGCCCGAAAATACTTAAACACATTATCACTCTAAACCCCAAGCCCTAAAGCCTATAGTCTATAGTACACTAAAATACACTAGAGAGGAAACTACCGAAACCGCCCAACCCTAAATTCTGTAATACACTGTAGCATACTAGAAGATACGATAATAGACAATAGAGCTACTCCAACCGTCCTAAGCCCACACCTCTTCAAGCTGCCTCAGAGTTCAGTCTCTCTCTCTCTCTGTCGCTCTCCCCCTCCCTCTGGATTCAGCACGACGGTAGACTTAATTCAATCTTGCGTCATACATACTATAATCAGAGACAGATATTCTTTGTGTGATTAGAAGTAATTCCGCAACTGAAAAGCATTGGCAGCAAGCAGAGGCGCCCACCTGGAGCGGACTGCCCCCAAAGAAGTGTTCCAGGGCTCCACCTGCATCCACCGCAGTGAAGAGGACGATGTATCCTGTCTCTGCATGTGGGTTGCCTAAACTAATATAGGGGCTCGAATAGCTAGAATGGGGGTTTTGGGGTCCAGTACACCACCATACTAATAGAATACGGCCCAAGAAAAGTACTGGTAATTATTTAGGCCCCTATACTATACCAAACCCTTCCACTCTGGGGTCTAGGACGAAGAAAGGAAATAGAAGGCCACTGGCAAAAGGAGCAGGAAACTCGACACTGGTGCTCGATTCGTGGGGATGCTTTTGAGGGCACCCCTTGGGGTTATGTAGTCTGAGGTCCTGTCCAAGCGACGCTCTAAACCCGGCGGATTCATGTCTTGGGCTCTTCACCTTGATTGAAGCCAACTCTGAATTTACCATATGGGAATTTCCGGAAATGGGGGACCTTAATATGGTACTCTAAATAGTAGGATCCCCCGCAAATAAGGTACCCCTAACTTTCGGAAACTCCCATATACCAGCTACGAAAGCCAGCGCCACGCTAACGAGATCCATCATAGAGTTCACCGGTCGACACAAGGGCCTGTTGTCCGCACAGGTCAGTTTTGCAGTGATGCAATCTACCCCTGCTGGAGCCTAGAGGACAAGACACCGTGTTGATCTGGTCAGAATCGAAACGGAACGCCGGAGTACCGTGGTGTTTACGTCAAGTCTTTCAAATGTGTCTTCCCTGAAGAAACGACTGTCAGCTGTGATCAGCTGTGGCACTGGAATTAAGACGGGCAAGCTGCCTGAGCACACCATCATCGCTTCAGGAAGCGGACGCTCCAGGACCAAGCTGGCGGGAGAGGGAGCTGAACCATGGAAACCCGGAAAAATCTGCAAAGTTCGGCGAAGGCAAAGCACGGCTAAGGAAACATACGTCTCGAAGCCCTTGGACATCCCTGAACTAAAGCCTTGCGCCGAAGCTGGAAGCGCTACAAATGTCAAGTTGGAAAGGTTGATACGCATTATAAGCCGGTGTGGCAGTGGTGGTAGCAACTGGAAGTAGCGACGGTGATGGCAACGAGGGTGACAGTGGCCATGGGCGGCGGTGGTGGGTAGAGAATCTCAGTCGGCTGAAAGATACTCCCACAGGGTTCACCTTCCACGGTTCGGGAAACCAGAAATCCCAAGAGCACCGCGCACATGGAACAGGCGTGCTGCCTCTCCGAGCCATCTTCGGAGCGATCTTGTAGGAGCATCACCTCAACGCGTCATGATGTTCACGACGATGATGATGATGACTATGCCTTTAAGTGTAATAGTGTTCATATAATTATGATTCTTATGATTGTTAGTATCGTTATCACTGCCATTACAGCCACTGCTATTGATTATATTTATTGTCATGCTGCTTAAGCTTCGTTGTCAGTATGTTCTATACCTGTTGGGGTTCCGATTGGGTCTTGCAGCGTTTGTGGAGATCTAGCAACCTCTAATAGGTTCAGTCTGCCTGTTGACGGAAGTTCCTGCCACGGACAGCTCAAAGGGAACCATGGCGCAAAGTTGCGAAGCCACGACTCCCGAACAGCAGCCCCCTGCACCACCAGATTGCAAAGCTCTCATCCTGGTAACGCCTTACTTTTGCCACTGGTCTTGGGGCTAGCCAGATCCTTGCATCGCGGCCTTTCGTAACGCCCTACATTCGAAACCTCTACTGTAAAGCCGTGAAGAGCCGCACCTGCAGTACATGTGTGATTAACACTCTAAATATGCAAATAAAGAGCCAGCACATGGAATAAACAAGAAAAGAGAAGAAACTATAAGAGTATCCATGGGTCTTTGAGTGGTCTTGGTGTGCACGAGCAAGTGAGCGAACGAGTGAGTGAGCCTTCGGAATTCGAACCCACTTATTTTTAATATGCATGCATACATGCCTACACATACAAGCTCACATGCGCACTCATGCATTCACTCGCATGCTGGTTCCTGTGCATTCCGCAAACACATGCATGCACATATACATATCCATACGCGCATGCTTACATATACATACATGAACACATACGCGTACGCATACTCATATGCAGCCGCAGAAGCACCATGTGCAGAAGAACACGCCACATGCACCATGTAGTCGCCGTCATGCATTTACGTATACGCAAGTATGCGAGCACGCATCCGCTCATGGACGCAAGCACACGTGTGTGAGCATGCGTGCGCGCCCTGCGCTTCCCGGTCTCGCCCTAAGCGCTGCCATGCCCTACCGCGCCGCACTACACCTTCCATGTCATGCCCTGCCATGCCATGTCATGGCCTTCCACGCCATACCAGATACTTTCATATCATACCCTACCATGCACACTCCATGCACATGTACACCTAGTAGACGAATGTATGTTTCTGCATACATATGCAGACAAGTTTGTACATCCATACGCATGCATATCATAGAATGTCATATACACCTATATGTACTCTTGCGTCTCTGTGTGCTTATGCATGTAAATGCATGTATGTATGTACGTATGTGCAAATATACATACTTACTTACTTACATGCATACAGACATACATGCATACATACATATTCCTAGATAAAGTTTATTGCTTCGTTGTTTTCGTTGTTGGGTATTTTTGTCTTGCGACGCGCAAGCCGCGCAAGGAATCTGGCCAAGAGCATGCGAGATATGTGCACATTTACATGTAGCTACATCTGGGACGTCAACTCGAAGCCAAGCCCTGCAAAGGCTTACAACCCCCTCAAAATACCCCTAACCCAAACCCAGGCTAGGGGTCTTTGGCCTGGAGCAAGCCGTAGAGGCCTAGGAAGAAGCCCATTGCCGGAAGCAGCTCTTCCTCGCCACAGGTTGGATTTAGACGGTTTACAGGTTTAGGTTTCTTCACTGTTTCTTCCCTCCGGCTCCCTCCTACCTAGCAAGGACGAGCCCAAAATTGCAGGGTAGGTTTGGGCTTGGGGTTGCGGCTCTCGGGTTCGAGGGTTTCGGCACTCACACTCGGACAATGTTGTAGTGTCGTTCTCCAACAACTGGAGACTTTCTTGCCATTGTATGCAGGTGCACCCAGCATACCCAAGTCCATGGGGATGTTCGTGACGTATTCGACCGTGCAGACCATCAAACTGTACTGCAGCATTACCCTAGCTCTTGAATTCTTCATCCGGAGAAAGCATGCACTTGAATGTCAATATTAGCATTAGTATTCTATTCATGCGGTGGTATTGTTGGTTGGGGTTTTCAGGGTTTCAGGTTTAGGGTTTACGATTGAAAGGGCTTAGGGTTAGGTAGCTTCTTTCCTTGCCTTCGTCAAACCCCACCAAAAGCTCACTAAATCCCAACCAACCCTTGGCCGAAACTCACCAAAAACAGGTCTGGTGAAGTTTCCCCGAAGTATACTTGGAAGTTCATGGGTAGTTATAAGTGGGGTCATAAGTCCCTTAATATGGGTTATAACTATAGTTATCCTACTTATAAGCCTACTCATGACTAACCATAAACCTCCAAGTAGGTCACCAGAAGCCCACCCAGTCAGCCCAGTACCCCTTAATTAAGGAACATAGCTTAAATCATGTTATGCGCCCTCTTATAATTTAAGGTATATTCCTTAATTAAAGGGTATTGGGCTCCTATACCCTTATAGAACCTCTATAGATCCCTTAAAAGGGGCCCTTAAAGGAACCCTTATAACTAGCCAACCCAGAAGCCCAGAAGATCAAGGCTTCATGCTCCGAGGCCTTCAATCTGGAATTGTAACGGCCGAAGTACTGCCCTTGCTCGGGCCATGCAGCCCCCGCTGCGCCCATGCTAAGGCGGTTTAGGGTTTAGGGTTTAGGGTACTCCTTGGGGTTCGACACGGTTTCGCAAGTATGGACATGAAAAAGATCTCCTTGAGACCTACTATGACTCTTACTCTTGCCATTACTCTCACGATTATTATCACTGGTACTATTACTACTGCTATTGATAGCCTCAAGATCCTCTGAGACAACCATTCAAGCCCCTATATGACATGGTCGGCCGCAAAGCACAGCGTGCAAACAAAATCCCCTGAAACCTCGATCTGATCGCTAAACCACTAAACCCCAAACCCTAAACCAATAAAGCCCAAACCATAAACCACTTTTTTAAGCACGGACTTTGAGTGTATGCCGGCAGCCATGCCCAGGGGACATGTGCGGATATTCATCACCACACTAACCATAAACCACTAAACCCCAAACTCTCAGATGATTTGGGCTACACACTGAGGCCAAGGGGCCCAGAATGGCGTGTGGCGCTGGCGCAGCAGATCCTCAGGTGTCGGAGCGCTAACATCTACGTTTAGCATTTAGGGCTGAGGATTGCGAAAAAGCCGATCATCATGAGAAGCAAACCCTAAGCTGTTCAGCCCCCGAACCCAAAACCCGACACACCACAATCGGAATAGGGGGGGGCCCTAATTCAAAAAAGGGTAATGGGGGGTGTGCACACACGAAGAACCAACTCAGGGATACATGGGGCTCTCTAGATCTTTGGCCTCCCACCTGGCAGAGTTTCCTCGCCCACAACCAGACCAAGGTTCCGGCAGGCCCCATGCTAAATCGGCACCCCCAGCCGACCTGTAAGGGGCATGCCTAAATCAATGCTTTGAAACCTCGAACCAGGCCCCAAGGTCTCGCATCAAGGAAATTGCAACACTTCCGTCAATCTATATCAGGGTATTTACTCTAACATGCCCCAAAACCCCAACATAAGTACTCTAAGATACCCGGATAGCCTGTTCTAAGGATTCAGCCCTTCAACATCCTTCAACAGTTAACCCTAAACCCGAAAGCCTAAAGCCTTTTAACCCTAAAGCAAGCCCATGGCCCATGTCAAAAGCACTTCGCACTATGGGGCGAGGTTCCTTGTAAGGGTACGAGGGATGACGAAAAGGCATCCTTTAAGCGTTCCTTTCAAAGTCCTTGTTGGTATCCGTAAGGGACCGGGGGGCCCCCGGTGCATGTATGACCCACACAATCAAGTTTTTTACCCAGTGCCCCCTAAGGTGCCCCCTAAGGTTCCCTGACATTCCATGTCGGGAGCCCCCACCCGCAGCCCCGCAGCCAAGTGTCAAGGCCACCACGGAGAACAAAGAAGAGCAAAGCGGAAACGCAAACGGCCTCACGTTGCTGCATTACTTGCTGTTGCTCGGCGTTGTTGCTGTGGAACTTGCTGTTGTTGTTGCTGCTGCTGCCGTTGTTGCTGACCTTGCTGTTGTTGCTGTTGTTGTTGTTGTTGTTGCTGTTGCTGTTGCTGCTGTTGCTGTTGCTGTTGCTGTTGCCTTCTGGCCTGCACCTGACTGCATTAGGCTATCGGAATACAAAACCACGTCATTGCCCGCTGGCTCTTTATCCTGCGTCCCATTAATGCTACCCTGCTGCATCACAGCTGCGTCCTGAATACGTGCTGGCTGTGGTGAGCTGAGGTCGGGCTTGTGGCTGAACTGGAATCCCGAGTCAGCAGCGTGAAGGCTGATATCAAGAACCCAAACGACAGCCAGCACAAAACCGAGCCATAGGTATATGTACTTGTATATATATATATATATATATGTATGTACACATGTATACATATATATATATATATATATATAAATAAATGTATATGCAAGCTGTTGCCAAACCCTAGGCGGTGAAGGTTGCGGGCTCAGCTACCAGGGCCGGACATTACCCGCAGGCTTGCTGTTGACCCTAAACCCCCAAAAGAAGTCGACATCCTCAAACCAAACTCCCCAAAAGGCGCTCAAACCCAGAAACCCTAAAGCCCACCCTCAAAGACCAAAGTACTACAACCCTCGAAACATAAGGCGAGCAAAAGACAAACCAAGTAAAACGGATCTCTTGGCAGCCCACCAGCGTGCCACTCAACAGGGGCCTGAGAAGGTGAACTACTCTGCCCAACCCGCGAAAATAAAAGCAATACCCTAAGGGAGGCGACTTAGTGATAAGAATACGGTGTCGGGGCGCATCTTGTCCTGTAACAATGAGGGGTACGATGTTGCATTGTAATGGGGGCAGTATTCGTAAGACGTGTTCAAGACGAACCGAACCCCAAAAATTTTGCACCCCTATTTCTCAGCTCTGAGGACTTTCCCTTGTTGAAACAGGACTTGATGACTGCCAGCATTGCTCCCTCCGCTGTTCTTCAGCCGAGGCCCGACAACACCCTAAAATCAAAACCCTACGACCTGAAGGCCTGTAAATGCTCTAACCAGCTTTCTCGGAGCCTCAACTTGGACCTCAAAAGCTGGAAAGAAGGTGGGTATATCGGACTATGGATTCCTTTTTTCCGGGCCCTGATTAACTGGGGTGTAGGGTTTAGGGTTTAGGACCCATCTGGGAGTTTCCGAAAATAGGGGTACCTTATTTTGGGGTCCTTAAAATAAGGGTCCTACTATTTAGGGTAGTATATTAGGGTCCCCTATTTTCGGAAACCCCCATCTTGACTGGAGATCTGATCATCCCACCTGCCTGCATCCCTCCCTTGGAGCCCTTGGAGACTTGGAGCCAGCTCTTAGAGCTTCGGTGCTTTCTGTCTGGCTCAGGGGTTTAAGTTTCAGGGACTAGGAAAAGTTTGGGAAGTGCTGACTCTACCGATGATTCGAATTGACTTGAGCAGCTAAGGTACGGCCAAGCCCCTTTGCACTCAAACACAATGCAGGGCCAGAAAAAGTATGCTCTGATGATGACAGGCAACGTGAGCACCCCCCCCCTGTAAACTTGAAGAAGCAATCCCGACGAAAGGGACTGAGTTCCCGGTGAGGGCCTGTACTGTATCTGTGCAATTGCCCAACTTCCTTCCTGCACTATGGGTGTAGGGTGACATAGGGTTTGGAATGGTGTCCTAACACAGTACCGAGCTGACTAAGTGAATTCGGTTTTAATGGTTCGTTACACTGTAAAACTTATAGGGACTATAAGGGAAGATGTAGTCGCATCTGTTGCTAACTCTTCAGGCCATAATTGTCGATCTGAGGCCGGAGCTGTAACGACCGAAACTTCGACGATGAGCCACCTCGAGACGAGTGGGCTGCACAGCTGAGAAGCCTAGACATGACGGGCTGGGCATGTATTTCGCATGGTGTGTGTATGCTGTAAACACCTGCTTCGTGATGCTGGTGTAGATGGGTTACCATTAGACCTTACCGATTCGGCAACATGATGAAGAAAGAATCAGTGCTAATCAGGGCAGTGGGCTTTCGGGCTTTAGGGCTTACGTAGTAGATTAAGGATTCAGGGTGAAGAAACAGAACGAGGTGCCCCTGTTTTCGGCTCCTGCTTCTGAACGAGTCGCTACGCAGGATGCTGAAGAAAGAATCAGAGGGGTTAGCAGTAGCCTGAAAGAAGCCTGAAAATCCGAGTGCGATGAGTATTGGTACGTACCGTCATCGTCATCATCCTCGTCATCTCATAGCAAAAGGCTGAAGGCCATCCATCCCACGAAGACTCCCTAAGGCTTGTTGTTGCAGAAGACCAAGGCTAGGACACGTTTGCCAAACCAAGCTAAGAAGCTAAAGACGCAGCTTGTGCTGCATGGTTCTCAAAGGCACTGTCTTTTCACCAACCGGTGTTCGGCACAGGTCTGTCCTCGACATCATGACAGCAGGGGTTGGCACAAGATCGAAGGTCTGGGCTGGTCGTGCCTTGAAACGTCGACTGCCTGTAGATAGCTGCATCTCCAATACCCAGCAGTTTGGACTTGAGGAAAACTTCGGTCCCTGGCTCTGCGCGCTCAGAATGGAAACAGGTTGCTCCCGTCGAAGAGTCCCGGCAGCTCTTTACCGATGAACTCCTCCAGGTCTCCACCGGTGCAATGCCACCAAAGAGAGGAGCCGGGCGCCCCTCCGTCGTTGCGCTTGGGAAACCGCGTCTGGTCCACGCAATCCTCCACCCGGCGCGAGCCGATGAGATCGTAGCCACCGCCCCCCGCCCAGCGTCTGGCGACCTCAAAGCGAAGAGCTGGTCCTTGGAAGAGCTCCGGTGAGGGTCGTGGCTCCTCCTCGTCTCCCCAGCACAGCGTGATATGTCCACCCGCGACGCCACACCAGCCGAGCGCACAGGGCGAGAGAGGAGGCGGCCGAATCAATCGAAGATGTCCGAAGCCATGGACACGTGCAAGAAGACGCGGCTTCGCGGGAGGCGAATCCTTTCGGCAGTAAACCATATGCCCGTCCACATAAACCCACACAAAGCCGGCCTCTAGAACCAATCCTGCGGTCTGATGGACCCTGGTCACCTCATGCAGCACTTCGCGATAGCCACCATAGATGTGACCCGTGGTCAGCAGCGCAAGTATCTGCACACCTGAGCTCCTCCAATCAAGGCCCCCAGTGTACTGGAGCTCTTCCACAAAGTTGGCGCTATCGTTGTGTCTCACTACTTCAACAAATATGTAGCTGTTCCCTTCCATCAAAGCTGCACTTCCACTGGCACGGGGGCCACGGCCTTCAAGATCCCTCCCCGTTTGCTCAACTTGCCACAGATGCAGCCCACCATCAAAGTGATAAATACTCTCCATCCACGTTCAGCGCCTGGCGCTGTTAGTTTGCAAGCCGTAGACATGGGCGCTGCAAGGCCCCTCAAGGAGGTGGATGCAATGACTTGTCCGCGCTGGTCCCAGCTCGTGGTGCACACATTGCAATTTCTGAAGGGGGCGGCTCCGGCGAGGAGAAGTCATGTTGCAGCTCCACACACCCTAATGTAGCGGCAGTGAAAACTAGAAAGGACGAACAAACATATGTAAATTATGGCACAGTTACATACGAACTGCAGGGGGAACAATCTCACGTAACGGTTGGCCTTGCATCTTACGTCTGTGACCTGTAAAGGAGAGCACTAAGCTCACACCTCGCTGCCCTGTGTGAAGCCACATGTCCGGAAGGAGCCTGAAGCCGTTTGAATGCAGATCCTTGTTCTTAATATGTATATATATATGCACATACATACATACATACATACATACATACATACATACATACATGTACATGTACATGTACATCTGTATGTAATATATGTATGTATATGTGTGTGTACATGCATATATATATATATATAGATCTATATTGTTATAGCTATGTGTTGACACTTATATTCTTTAGACTCCTGCACAAGACGAACATGCCCTAGACATGAGCACAGTGACTAGAACACAGCAACAGCTGCCTCAGAGCGGGGGCCCGCACGGGTCAGCAGAGCACAGATCACGGCCCCGACGAGGACAGCGGAGGCCTTAGGGCTTTAGGGGTTTAAGGTTTCGGGGTTAGGGTTTTAGGAGCTTTTGGGGCTGTTGGGGCTTTTGGGACTTAGGGGTTCCGGGCTTAGGGGTTTAGGGTTTAGGAGGGGTTTAGGGCTTTAGGGGTTTAGGGGTCAGGGTTGAAGGTTTAGAGTTTCGGCGCTCACACTCGGACAATCCAGGCGAGGCATGTGGTTCAAGGGCTGAAGTGTGAAACATCACTACCCGGAGTTTTCAAAGCACTCTACGAATACCAATAACCACAAACTTCGCACTCCCCTCTCAAACTCCGCGACTTGTCCCCTAAGCTACTGCTCACACGGACTTTGAGGGCTGCAAGCGGCAGATCACATTACAGGAGATGAGGTGAGCTAAAGGGACATAGAGCTAGCTTGAGACCGGGTCGGTGTGGGTAGCTTGTAATCTGTGTGTGCAATCATCACGGCTACTGATTACACCGTAGGCTGAGCCTGCCATGAAAGGGTAAGGCTACTGGGCCAACGAAAAACCTGAATATGAGGATCGAGGCGGGGTGACTGGGAAAGAGAGTACGCAGCTCAGTCTAGGACCGTTTTACTTTACGTGGTCAGACTACCTACACCTGGCAGCAGAACTTCTACACCAATGACGAAAACCAGAGAATGACGCCCAATACATAACAAATACTCGGAATAGATTAACGGGATCAACTCTCTTGAACTGGCTAGTTTCGTGAAGCCATGCAGCTAGACGGTGGACTGTATGCAATCATGCACATGAGCAGTTTTACATAAGGTTTAGGGTTTAGGGGTCGAGCTTCCGCGGCATGACCAAAACTATGCTCGTTGAAGCCCTGCTTGCTTTACCAGGGTTTGGGGCGTTTACCAGGCTATTACAAGTAAGGCGTCATCGTTGCCACTATGACCGCTATCGTCAGCATCGTCGTCAAACAGAAAAGCATTGCCCCTGGGCTTCTCACTGCTTCTAGCTGTCGCTTGCCCGTACTAGTGTCACATATGGCGGCATACTTTTCGTCATTCGGACTATTGTCTTGGGGATCTGATGTGTTTCTTAGCACTCGAACCAACGGCATTGATTGGCAGTCTATCTTGAGCATTCCTCTGTCTATTCTCAGATTTTGTTCTCGGGACTTGAATCCTAAACCCCAAAGAAACCCTGTGCCCCAGAGCCGACGTCCTTTCCGCGGGTCATGTTCGCTACTGCGAGCCTCCGACCAGCGCAAGAACCCTGACTTCCAAAACCACTTACCAGCTGTTTTCATGACCTACAGAAAATGCACCGAGTTTGTGTTTTATTCAAAAGAGACACATGCTGGAACAGAGCGAGGTCCTCAAACTCCCGCACTATCCCACCTTGAGCATAAGAATCAAGTAGTTGCTTCTTGGAGCACATACACAGGACTGACAAAGGGGTCAGGATTAGGGGGACCCTTATGAACATAGACCCTTTCAATCAAGTCCCTTTTGAAAGAGCCAGAAGTAGGGTTAAGAAAGGTCCCCTTTCAGGGGTCTCCCTATTACCACCTAGGAATCAAACTTTGCACCCAGGCCCTTCTGGTTCTTAGCAGGGATGGGGGAATGGGTTATTATGGGAACTATTTATTGTAGGGGTTGTATAGGGACGACTATAGGAATCCATGCCCCCATTCCCTAACCCCTAAACCTTCTCCTTAAAGTTTTAAAGGATCCCTTAAGGAGACCCTAGATCCTCAAAGGGATCCATGCCCCCCTTCCCTACTAAGAACCAGACAGAGCCATCTCTGGGCCCAGGGCCAGGAACGAATCGGAACCGACCGCAGAAAGTACCGGAGAGGCGCTCCTTGCAGTAGCAAACCAGCGTTCAGGGTTTAGGGATTGGGTTTTCTTAGGGAAGCATGGGGGAAGCAAAATCCTTCCGGGTATTGAGGTGGCTCGGGCCTTTTTGCGTTGGAGTTTAAGTTTAGGAGTTTGCGTTGACTGGTTTCCTCATCCGTGCTCGGTCAGCAATTTTTTCATGATTGACGATTGATTCGGTGTGTTGCTAAACCAATCGGCGTAAGTTAGGGCTTTGAAGTTAGGGTCTTTCACTTGGTGCCAGGGGTTTCTCTCAAGTTTCAGATATCTCGTAAACCATAAACCCCAAAACCCTGAAACCTGACCCCAGGCCCTACACCCTGAACCCTAAACAATGGGTGCGAGAGGGAAAAGAAACAATGGGTGGTCTGGCAGGGCTTCTGCAGAGTTCAGCCCCCGGGAGGCTATGCTGCGCAGCTTTGCTTTTGAAGGGTTCCTCTCCGGGTTCGTTGGGGGAGTGTACGAGGGACACGATAGAGTTAACCCTGCTGCCGTGCCTGAATTCTGGATGCAGCTGTTCGATGGCACCAGCACGTCCGCTCGATGCAAACAGGTGCAACAACAGACATCATAAGTAAAGGATCATGAACGATGTAGGGCAACAGTAACTTTCATGTGACCATAACGATTCCCAGAGCAAGAGAGCTGCTTGAAGCTAGGGCTCTGGAGGAGATCGGCCAGCTGGCTGTGTGGTGGGCCTTGTCCATGGCGCCTGTGACGGTCTCCAAGGGTATTGGGCTTTAGGGTCAGAGGGCGGGGGTGGGGCCTCCGAGCTCTTCACAGTAAGGGCTCTAGTCAATCGGCCAGTCAACTGCTAATGTACTTCCTGCCTGCCAGCAACTGACTTTCAAATAATTGACATCTGGCCCAACAGAATCTACAATGCGAATGCCCAGCCCTGTTTACGGGGCGTTCATCCGGTGAACACCGGATACATCAGATCCGACTGTCGGCAACTACTGAAACCTTCCGTGGTAGGCATATCCAAAAACTCTAATTCAAGTATGCAGGTCTAGGACTCAGCAGGAGCTCGAGAAGCATGAAACCGAACAGTGTGGCTCTTCTTGAAGTGCCAGAGTCCTCCCGAGATTCAGTGCAACCCCGCAATTCCTTTCCCAACGGTCCCCAATGTTTAGGGATGACAGGGCGCCCACCCCTCAGCTGAATCATCCGACCCTGCCTTAGTGCCGCCCCATGCCCGGCCCCGGCCACGCGCACCTCCTGTGTGGAGGCACAGCTTGCATGCTAGTCCCTGTTTTCAAGCCAAACCCGGGCTTGAAGGCGCAGAAGCTAGAAGCTTTAAGCTCTCAAGCTTGAACAAACACTTTGCGCCGGTTGTTTTCGTGTAGACTCGCCGGACAGTCCTGCCAAATGTTGCAGTGATGGTGTCACGAGAAAGAAAGAGAGAGAGAGAGAGAGAGAGAGATAGATCCTTTTGATGCAAAAATGATGTGCCGCTCAAGTGCCTAGAGGCCTAGAGAAGACGCAACCTTCAATCACAAGAGATGTCTTCACATCATCCCTGGCCAAGCCAGCGCAACTGCTTGAGCTCTGGCGACAAGAACGCCGACCGCGGACCGGAGATGACGAGGATGCTGGCAAGGGACTTGGTGCTGATGATCCCGGTGGTGCCGGTCATGGCGACGATGGCTGTGGTTGTGCTGCTCTGCTAGTACTGGTGGTGCGGACTCACGGTGATGGTGATGGTGATGCTGATGGCTATGCTCATGCGGGTTCTGGTGAGGATGATGAGGAGTCGTCATGGCACATAGTGAAAGCCATGACCGCAGTCATCATCACCACCACCAATTCCTCCACACCCACCTCCACAACCACCGTCCTCGTCATCTTGTTATGGTGAGCAGCAGGTTGCAAAGAAGCGTAATTGTCTTTGGCCTTGTTGCCTTGGCGGTATGTCAGAAGTGCCAGTCTTTGAGAACCAGCCGAAGCAGCAGTGCTTCGGTACCAACAAGAAGTTGAAAGCGCTCATGTTATGCTCCTTGCTGTTGCTCCTGCTGCACTTCCCGTTCCTACGGCTGCTCGTGGGGCACCAGTTTATATTTCTGGATGGTGTTTCAATGTTGTCTGTGCTTTGTACAGTTCTCGCGTGCGGGACCTCGTGGCTTCCCCCCTTCCACAGAGGGGGTACTGAGCCCTGCCACTGGCAAAAACCCGAAGCCTCCTCATTGGGCGATCAGGGCTGATCACATTTCTGAAGCCTTCTCTTCGTTTTGTCATCCCGGGTCATCACACCCGTTAAACTCGCCCACTCATTTGGTGATCACGGCTGCTCACATGTTCGAATCCCGCCCTCTCATGTGGCGATCACGGCTGATCATACATTTCTTAAACCTGCCCCCTCATTTGGCGATTCTGATTCATCACATTTCGTAAGCCCCCCCCTCATTTCTTCGGCATTTCCGGTTAATCACATATCTTAAAATCGCCGCCTCATTCGGGGATCCCCGAGAAGTCCCACCTGTTAAATCCGCCCTCCATCCCGGCTCATCACAGTTCCCAAACGTGCCGCCTCCTTTGGCGATCACCGTTGATCAACTATGTTCATCCCACGCTCTCGTTTGGCAACCACGGATGCAGCGACAGAGAAAGCGAAACACGCCCCCCTCAATACCATCAGGCATGATATTGCGCTGGAAACGCCATCACCCCCTCTCGAATGATGTCAGAAATAAAGGCCAGCTAAGGAGCACAGTATTCTGCCAACATCTGTTGGGGCCGCCGTGGGCTGACTGTGATGTGTCTACGGCTCGTTTGTTTCCTTGCTTGCTCGCCTGCCAGCGAGGTAGCCGGATAAAAAACATAATCATAAACCTTCTAATCTGAATGATTTCCGGGGCATAATTTTGAATCTCGGCGCGACGTTCAAGAAGGACGGCTAAGCCGTAGCCCTTAGTCACCCCTGGCGGCTTTGGAATTGGGTTTAAGGCTTAGGATTTACGGTTTTGGGGCGAGGATTACTCCAAACACTGCCTCTACAGGCCTCTTAGACCCACATTGCAAAAACTAGGTTTGATTACCCCTTGTGTGTGTGTGTGTGTCTGCGTGTGTGTGCGTCTCTTTTCTTTCTTTCTGCCGGGCTTAGGGGCCACGTCTCTCTCTCTCACTCTCTGCCGCACCATGCTCGAGGGAGTCTAGTCCCTGCAACCTCCTTCCGCTTCACGTGCTCTGTGTCGTGATGACAAGCAGGATCGCCCCGGTCGACCTCCGAAGGGAATTTCAGAAAGCAATCAGTCTGGGGTTGAGACGGGTTTCGGGGCTAGGATTTACGGGTTGAGGGGATTTGGGGGCGAATTGGAGGTGTTCAGGGTGAAGGGGTGTGGGGCTTTCAGAATTTCAGTTCAAAATTTTAAGGCTTAAGGCTATGCCGTGCGAAGCAGAAAGCAAAACACTGATAAAACTTGCTACCGAGGGATGCAAAGCACTGAGGCACGCCCTACGAACGGCACGCACGCACGCACACAAAGCGCCGCGCCGCACCGCAACCCAAGAGAAGAAGCCTTACCGCATCCCGGGCCTTTCTTTTCGGAGCAACAAATCTAAGAGCTCCCAACCCTGCGCCCGCCACAAAGTCTGAGCCTGCAGGATGCCGATGCTCCCGGCACTCCTCCGAGGGTAGGGTTTAGGGCCCAGTGCTTAGGTTTATGGTTTTAGGTCTAAGGTTTGGGCTTTAGAGTCTGGGGTCTAAGGCTTGGAGCTCCCATGGTCCGCAGCCTGCAAAGATTGGGCACACTCATGCTGATAGGCCCATGGGAAAGATTGCAGATCAAAGCTGCAACATACCTCCGTAGTTCGATGCCAATCATTGTTGTCAGTCAACTGGCTCTTTGCAAAATCCGGCCTAGGGCACTATCCCGCGATACCAGAAGATACCCGGTACCGAGGCTCAGATTGCCACAGAGACGCACAGTGCGCACCTGAATATACGTATACACCACATGTGCGTACTGATCCACAACTTACTTCTGCACACGCCCCACATCAGTCTACTAGACTAGACTAGTAACTAGTACAGTACGAATACTTTCTTTTAGACTTTGCAATCGTCGGACTCAGGACTTGGAACTGGCCCTAGATTGCACTAGCGTCACCTGAGATCGTAGTTCGTCCCAAGTTCGCGCCAGCCAAGATATCAAGACCCTAGTCCCGAAACTTGTCCGTTGATGTCCCTCCTGCGCTTCGTGTCTAGGCAATACGAATTTCAAGGCCAATTTCAGGACGGAGAGCAGGGTTCTCAATTGAGGATTGGGGCTCCTAAACCTTAAACTCCTTGAAAATCCGCGATATGCCTCTCCTGAAATCGCCCTACAAAGCGGGATCTAGGAGATGACATGACTTGTCTCTGCTTGTGAGAGCAATCCAGCGGCCTCCAGAAGGGCTAGAACAGTCTGGGATTGAGGGTTTGGTGCTGTGCTTTTACGATATCCGATAACACGGATGGACAATCTGCTGAGTATTTCTAGAAGCCGCTACTGGCAAAGAACTGTACAGTCTCCGTCCCCATGCTTCGAAAGCAGTGCAACGTCAGGTCTTTCACAATGATCCTTACAGGACGGCAGCTGCTGCGTAGCACCACGCTGCTTCCACACAAGGGCCACGGTGAAGGAAAAAGGCCATTCTTGCAAGCAACATACAATGCACATACGAAACACTCGCGCCTCAAATGCTTTTTTGTACATGGGTGAACCTGCTACAGCGTGTGAGCATGCATGTTCATACACGGGAACGGTGTACATGGTGCAGCAGAAGCAGCCAATTTGAACCTGACGGAGGCCGGGCACAGGCTGGGTGCAAATCGCTGCCGGAGGAGGATGTTTGGCACTGACTTCGTCGAAGATAAGTTTTGGTCTTTGGTGTACTTGCCCTGCTTGGCTTTGCAAGCACAATGTCACGCTCACTCGTGCGAATTTTGATCCTGACATGCCAGTTTCTGTTTGCAAGCGCCACAGCTGCCGAAGCTACCTACAGTCACTTGCGTCAGCCCCTAGCTACCTGCCAGAATCGCAAGGGGATTTAGGATCCGCCATAGACCTTGCACGAGAATGCTGCCGCATTGCTGCCCTGCGCCTTGCGTGGCTCCAGTCAGGAAAGTCCTGACATAGCCTTGGCTGGCACTTGCCTGGCGGCTGTCCAGGAGAGCATCACAGAGATGGTCCAAAGCATTTCGGGCGTCACGAACCAGTCCAACAAGGTGCCCATGGCGTTCCGCCATGTGACGGTGGATGATCTCGAAAATTCGCGGATCACAGTCCAGGGCTTCTTTAAGCTCCTTCTGCACGCGCCGTAGGGTCTCAGGTCCAGCGCTAAAATCCTTACCAATTGAGAACAGGTCATTCCCCAGGCGCTCAACCACCTGAAGACGGTCATGGTGTGGATTGACTTGGCCCAGAGTACTGGCTATGCTTCTGATTTTGGTGAAGCTAACCCTCTTTGCTTTTGCCACCTCCCGTAGGCGGGGGAAATCATGGACCATAATCAGCCCAGTGTAGAAGAGCCTCACGTAGCAAGGGAGTAAGCTCCTTAGCATGGCTTGCTCATGCGGAATGTGTTCGATGATATTGAGCGAGTGCTGGGACATCATATCTTGCAGTCGCTGCACTAGCCGTTCGCTTCCCAGAAACGCCAGAATTTGGTTTGCAGACTCGAAGCCGGTGAGGTTCCATCCACTTTGTGGCCTGTCGCCTTGGACGGCCACTTCTGCAGCAGCAACGGAGCTGGCACTGCGGGCACTGTCTGGAGTTGCAGTTAACTCAGTGGGTGTGGGAATGGACCTGTGCCTGTCATTTCGGACAGCTAGGATGCCATCCCGAGCCTCATCTCGCTGTTGCTGCGAAATCGCGGATGGAGCTGGATGCTGGTCGAGGTACAAGTAGGCGAGAATTCCGACAGCTGCAGCCGCCACGAGGATTCCAACCACCACGGAGCCCTGCCCACAGTATACGACCCGAATACAGCTTTCCCACTCCTCTTCTAAATGTGTCGCAGTACAGCTTCGCCGCTCCGGCGGAATCGTCGGAGCACGATGCGCTGATGACTGTGCCCGGACCATGGCCAGGCATCCCTCGTGGAACGCGCGGCCACGATGACGTGCCAATTCTTCGTCGGCTGCAAACTCGCGCATACACATCGGGCAACGATCTGTCAATATGCGAGACGAAGAGTAGGCGTTTGTCAAAGAACTGGGAAGCTCTGTGTTGCAGATGTGTTTGATGACAGTCCTCTTGACTCTTGCACTGAAACTGACAATTTCATGATCCGACATTGTGAGCATATCCCCGTCGTACTTCAGCATGACCAGCACCGCGGGTTCTTCAGCACCGCTGCTTTCGTCTTCGCAGATGTAGTCGAAAGAAACAGAAACAGGCAAGCCCTCCTCCGCGTTAAACGCAACAAGCTCGAACTTGCTTTCACCATCTTCATCTGGAGCTTCACCATCTTCATCTGGAGCTTCCGGAGCGGTCAACAAAAATTTAGCGGCAGCAACAGCAACTGTAAAGCCGACAGGAGCAGCAGCTACTGCTGCAGCAGTGCCGAAAGGAGCGATGGAAACGGCAGCAGCAGCTTTGCTCAAAAAAGCACCGGCAGCAGCAGCAGCACTTCTCCTGGCAGCAGCAGCAGCAACATTAGCAGCTGCAGCAGCAGTATCAGCAGCAGCAGCAGCAGCAGCGATACCCAAAACTCCGTGGACGGGAGCCTCAGCAATGGCAACCGGAGCCTGCAGGGAGTTTGAAGATTGCGACGATTGCTCAGCAGCAAAAAAATGGACAATTTCAGAAGCACAAAGATGTTGGTGGCAAAGTCGCATGATGTTGCTGGGAAGGGCAGAGCGGTAATCCTCAGCCTTCAGATGCCCTTTCTCGAAGAGCCGCTTCGCCTGAGTAACTTGGATCCACTCTTGCTTCGCCAGCCCTGACCTCGCACCAACCCAGAGCTCTGCAAGAAACTTGGCCAACTCTGCCTCATCTTGTCGAGCGCAACTTACCATGTCTGCACAAAGCTCCGGGGAATCATCCGATCGAGTGTACTGCCAGGGCTCGAAATTTATCACCAGCGTGGTACCTCTCAGCGTCAATGCATGGACATCCCCGGAGGCCAAAACCTGGTGGTCAACGATGAATTCGCACAACGGGATCTTCCAGGTGCGACGCTTCTGGTCCACAATGCAAAAGAGCTTCTCCTTCAAATCCACATAACACACCACCTCCTTCGGCGGGAGACCCTCGTCCATGTGCCAATCTGCAGGGAAGCCGCACAATGCCGCCGTCAACCACCGAGGCACTGCAGCATCTGCGCCGCTGAAGCCAAAGGGCCCCACCTCGGGACGCCACCACTCAGCCACCATGGCTGCGAAGCTTTGAAAGTGTCTTGAAATTCCCTTACAATTATGGCGAGCGGCATCCATACAGGAAATTTGGTCAGATAGCACGGCTCGGAAACTACGCTTGCAACTTCGATTTGCAGGTAGGGAGGAGCTGCATGCGGCTCTGACGAGACAACAGCGGTCCCGGGGATGAAGTAGACGGCCCCGTTCACCAAGATCCCACTGGAGAACCACCTGAGCTAGGGTTTGGGCTCCGCGACGCCGAAGATGAACAAAGTTTAGAAAATGAACGGCCTCAATGCAGCAGTAGCAATCACCTCCACTTGTATGAGAACGTCAAACCCTTCAAAAAAAACATGCAACAGCACAAGAAGCGGAGCCCCCCTAGAGTTCAGGAAAATTTAACAGTATCGCAAAGTGCCACCTAGGACCTAGGTTTTAGGCCCCAGACCCACCCTGTCTGCTCCCAAACCCCCTAAACCCATTTGAACCCCTTGACCCTGCAGCATTGCCATATAGGAATAACAACCACAAGAAGACACGACGTGGCCCCAAAACGAGGTCTCGAGGCTCAATGTCAGCTACTCTCTTCTTCAATAACCGGACCCAAATGTATTCAAACTTTCTAAGATGGACCAACTATATACTAACGAAGAAGTTTAAAGGTCTACTATTGGCTATCTAAGCTAGGATGGTCGGCTTCCTTATGCCGAGTCTCTTGGAATCTGCGTTGATCTTCCCGGATATGTCCTGGGTTCGAATTGCCATGAGAGCTCCCAGCCCTAAACAGCTTGGGGATTGGGCTTTAGGGTTGTGCATTGCGCTGCCAACGACGATGCTGAGTGTCAGTGCTATCACTGCTGCTGCCGAAGCTTTTCTGCGAGTACTGTGCGTGCCTACGTACCCTTTCGCGGCAGGCTTCTCTCGCTCTGAGCTGTCGCCCACATCCTTATAGAACCCTGACAGAACCCTCATAGAACTCTGACCTCGAGAGAACCCTTATAGAAATATCATTGCTCGTGAAAGGGCACCATGAGGGTTCTACAGAATCTACAAGGGCTCGATAAGGACTCGATGAGGACTCTATAATGGTTCTGTAAGGTTTTGGACAGTGGAAGGACTCTACAAACGCTGGACTCTCTAAGGGCTTCTTTCCGGGCTCTCAGTAAGGGTTCAGATTTCACGGCGAGTGTCGATCGTCACGAAGGACTCGGAGTCGAGGTGCAGAACACCGATGCTGTCCTCAGCCGCCCTTTTGCCCAGAACCAAAAATAACATCTCACTGCTCCCCTGGAGATACATCATAAGAAGAAAATATCATAAGAAGAACAAAACATGTGTAAAGACTAAACTGATCCCCTGGAGTTACAGCTCTATCATAAGAAAAATCAAAAGATGTAAAGCCCAAACTCCTAAGAGCAGCAAAGTCTCGGCGTCGTAGGGGACGAGATATGCCAGGCCCCTGTCCGGCACAGCACCCCAATACCTGACATTGAGGGCTTCAGTTTGGGGATTTTATGGCTAAGGAATTTAGGGATTTAGGGCTTTGGGTTTATAGTTTGGGGATTTAGGGCTTCAGCACTTGGGGGTTCATGGTTAGTTATAATTAGGGTTATAAGTAAGATAACTATAGTTATAACCCATATTAAGGGACTTATATCCCCACTTATTACTGCCCATGAACCTCCAAGTAGGGTTTGAGGCTTGACGTGTAGGAAGGTTTCTAAGCTGCACTCTCATTCTGATTCATGTGGCCCTGGGATGGACAGCTTTTCATTCTCCCTACCATGAAGCGTGCAACGTTTGCGACACCCTGTGGGTGCGTTTTCTCCGCCTAGTGGCTTGAAGTTCCTCGAGATCGACGTCGCGATATCCAGCAGCAAGAAGTGCTCCGTCTCGATCTCCAAGACACCCACGGCATCCGCGTTGAATGGAACGAAGTAGACCGCGCCGTTGTGCTCGAAGGCGTCCGAGAACTTTCGTCCGATGGAGATCGTCCCGGAGATGTCAAGGGACCGAAACGAGAGCGAGTCCTGTGAATGCGGGGCTTTAGGGGTTTCGGGCTTTAGCGGGTTGGGGAAATGAAGCCTAAGTTAGTATGGATGGGAGGGTTTGGGGCTGCTTCCCAGGACGACTAGTGCTACTAGCATCCCCCGCTTGTTGGAGCGACCCTAGCCCGCAGGGAATGTGTCAATATAGGGGCCTTAATAATTAGAATAGGGTTCTGGGGTCCGTTATATTATACCTATAACAAGGAACCCCGGTAATTATTTAGGCCCTTATGTTAGATGTGAAAACTGACACCCCTCCAATAGCACTAAGTCTGACCTCTCGTGCTCGCTGGTACGGCGTTCACTCTTGCAACCCTAAAGAATCCAAGCCACGATGTCGAACATTCCGATGTCGTCGGCGTTGTGGGGAGCCTGTGTTCGGGTGCTCGGTTGTATCGGGCCTGTAAAGGGTTCCGTAAAAGGGGTCTATAAGGGATTATAAGGGTACTATATTATAGGGGCCTTAATTAATCGAAAAGGGTTTTGGTGCCTTTTATACGGTCATTATAATAAGGAGCCCCCAAAATAGGCAAGGTAGCTATTGAGGCCCCTGTGTTAAGGCTTTTTGCTTGGCAATGGGCTTGCAAAGGGTTTTGGCGATGTTTGTGTTGAGGGGCTATGCTCGGGGCTCCAATGGGGGTGCCTACTTGTCGGGTATCATGGGGAACCAAAGGTTCAGACCTTTTTGGCTCTACAGGGATTATATAGGGACTATACTACCCCAAACTAAAGGCTAAAGGGGTACCACGCGACTACTCAGGTTGGGTTGTTGGGCACCAAGACAACCATGAGCCGAGTGCTGGCCCTGGCCGAGAGGCAAAGTAGCAAGTTCGCTCCAAAATCACCTCAGTCCAGGTATTGGTGGCTTTCGGCGCTTCTTCTCGATTTGTGCGTGTTGGTGGCTTTAGGGTTTCGCGGAGCAGGAGGGACTAGGTGACTAGGTCTTGGGCTTCCGAGCTTTGGGCTAAGAGCTCTTTGGGCCTTGGGGTAAAGGAGCCCAGGGGCTGTGGTGTTTCGGGGCTTCGGGTTGAGGAAGAGCCTATCCTGGTCTACCTCACGCATTGCTATGTCCTGTCACTCCGCGTTGGCGGGGTGAAGATCATGCAGTAAGCTGGGTGCAAGTCTTAACGGACGCAGGTGTTGAGATTGAGAGACCAAACTACCCCTTGCAGCAACCCGTACAGTCACCCTTTAAGCAACCACTGAATCCCTAAACCATAAAATCCCAAACCCCAAACCCTCATAGGAACTTAGCCTAAACCCTATACCGTCCGTAAATCCCCAAACCCCAAGCCCTCATAATAGGAACTTAGTAACCCTAAACCCTCCGTAAATCCCCAAGCACCCAAGCCCTCATGGGAACTTAGCCTGAACCCTAAACCCTCCATAAATCCCCATACCCCCAAAACCTCATAGGACTTAGCCTGAATCCCAAACCCTAAACCCTAAGCCGATAGGAAAGGGCCCTTCCTGACTGGGCCTCCGAGCCCCGCCACGGTACTTCCAGGGAATGGAGCTGGGATTTGGCAGCGGAACCTCGTCGGATGTTATACGACTCTACTATACTAGACTGTTTTTGTGGGGTGGCAAGGATAGTCTGGTAGAGCAGAGTGGTACAACAGTACAAGACTATACAACGAATACGACACTGTTTCTTGAATGAAAACAGACTATACAACGAATACTAGACTACAATATGGTGTACAGGAATGGTTTGGCGGCAGTGTTCGGATTGCAAGGGCTGAGGCTGGGGACGATGGAGGAACTTTGCATTTTTCTAGTTTAAAGGTCATGACAATATCCACGCCGCCTTTAAAGGACTTGGGCGATAAGGGTGAAGGCTCAACATCGACATGCGAGAATGCAAAGGGAAGCCGTCGCCATGTGCCCGACATGATGCTTCTCCACTTCACCCTTTTTGAGCACCCTAAACCCTAAACCCTTTTTGCGGCAGGCCTCGTTGTCCAGCAGCCCGGTCTGGATTCGTATTTGAGCGAGCTCATGGATCTTCACAGTCTTGCAATCTGTCAGTGTAGTAAGGTAGTATCGTATCAGATAGTGTCGTCGCGAGTGTCAGCTCGACTCCTCTCCTTCCTTTGAAGAAGCGGGGGAAAGGGGGGGCTCTTGCCGAAACCCTAAATCCTAGACCGTCCTGTCTTAGTCCGCGGCCCTTCCCATCCCCTCCTCCTCTCTCCCGCTCTGTCTCGCTGCCCACCTCTGTATCGCTCCTTAACTTGCTGTATGTACTCGTGGACTTGTCTCTTTCTGCCTTCCTTTCGAAAATACATTTTATCGATGTCTCCGTTGTTTTTGTTGCCCCTCTCGTTCTGTTTGCATTCATGTCTTGCTTGCTTTCTCTCTGATTCACTCTCTCTCTCTCTCTCTCTCTCGGTCTCTCTCTGTCTCTCTCTGCCTAAGTCTCTCACTTGGCAGACAGGAGGCCGCACGGAAGGACTCGGTGGTCGGGTTGAAGACACCTGTCATGCGGGGCAGGTCCTACAGAACCCTTGAAGAATCCTTCAGGAGCCCTCATAGAAGCTTGAAAAAGCTCGTATATAATACCCGTTAATACCCCAACCCATATCTTCGTACCGTTCTTTGATGTTCTTCGATGCCAAGCATAGTTTGCTGGGCTGACAACGTCACTCCAGAAGCTGCGGAACATTCCGACATTTCACAAATAGGCACCACTCATCAAAAAAGGCGGGGGTTTCGATTCTCACACTTGCAAACGGCAGGCAGGTATGTGGGACATGACACAACTGAAACAGCCACCTACTAGCGGCATGCGCAAGCAGGAGTTTAGACTGGAATATCACCTCCGGGCCATTTGAGAATATGTTACATGGGAGTTTCCGAATATGGGACCCTAATTTAGCACCCTAAATAGTAGGATCCTTATTATAAGGAGCCCAAAATAAGCTACCCCAAATTTTCAGAAGCTCACCCATCAAGAAACAAACCAGAGCAGCGAGGTGCCCAGAAGGTATCTTCCATGCTGCTGATTAATGCCCGTCGGCCCCCTAGACCCTTTCGCAACTGAGACCCTAAACCCCTATCCCCAAAAAGCTGTCCTTCACCCCCCTAAAGCCGCCAATCGTCCAATCACCGAAAACATCTCGGAAGCTTGAGATCCTCTTTCAAAGGGTATCTACTGGGTATATAATGGTATATAGTAGCTATACTAAGGGTATATGCCTAGGGGTCCTTGTTAAAGGTCCCTGCTTTTACCCTTGGACTCTTGGATTCAAGCTTCGCCGACTGTAGGTTGCAGCTGGGCTTTCGGGTAAACTACTGGGTACTTGTTGGAGCAGCTATCTGGGAGTTTCCGAAGATTAGGGGGTACATTATTTTGGTGTCCTTATGATAAGGACACTACTATTTAGGGTACTCTATTCAAGTCGCCTATTTTCTTACCTTTGGTTAATAGGGAATGGAAGAACGGTAGTAATAGTAGCTATAGTTGTACCCCATTCCTCCATTCGAAAACTCCCATCTGAATCTACCGTCGTAAAGCAAGTGTCCAAGATGGGGCATGGATTCTGGGTGAGTGGGGGCTCTCGTCTCAGGGACCGACCAGGGACAAGATTGCACTAAGCCCAACAGAGGGGTCTTGATCCTTAGAAGATGGTTTTGGGGCAGACTATAGTCATGGTGGAACACTAGTGTACCTAGTATATTCTGGAACCCCAAGCAATAACATTGGCAATTATTCCAACTCCCATATCACGTATGGCATCCCAACGGGCATCGAACAAGAAACAAATTCAGTCAGAGTTGAATCGGACTGCACACATGCAGAATAGCAAAAGACACCCTTGACCAAACAGACTCGACAGTGGCAAAGAGCAGCATAAATTGAATGAACAAGACGGGCGCAGAGCAAAAAACAACCCCAATACACGTCTATCCTGCACAAGCCTGACTGACTTCCCCAACGCCGGTACCTACATTGCTTGCGGAGCTGGGTATGAAGTAGGCAATGCCGTCGGAGACGAGGGCACCACTATACTTGCCTGAGAGGGCCGCGCATGCAGAGACTCTGTGCCGAGGTCTACCGTTACGTAAGGCACGACTACTACCACTACCACTAGCACTACTACCCTCGACGGCTACGGCTACGACTACAATTACGCCTCCTGCTACCAATACTAGACTAGACTTCTACGGCTACTACGACAACGACTGCTACCACTACGACCACTAGGCCTCCTTTCTCTCCCGCCTCCTCCTCCTGCTCCTGCTGCTGCTGCCGCTGAGGCCCGCTACTGGTGCTACTGCTTACTGCTCGGCGCTGAAGCAGGAATCGTTCTGGCAGGAGCAATGGCGCAGAGAGCCCAATATCCCTCAATTAATAAGGAATACATATAGCTTAAACGAACCATAACATGAATCTCCTTATAATTTGAGGTATATTCCTTAATTAAGGGTATTGGACAATGTGGACGGGTCTGTTGCAAGCAGCCTCTCTAATCCCTCTTTGGTTCCACTTCTTGGATGTAGGACCCAAAAAAGGCTCAACGTTGACATAGCCACGAGACCCATTGGGGCCTGAATCCCAAAGGCGTTTGCACGAAAAAGAAACGTATGCCTAGTGCAAGAGCCTTAGCAATTAGAATAGGGTTTTGGGCTTATTTACACTTGAATAAGGAGCCCCGGAAATAGTATTAGTAATTATTTAGGCCCCCATTAGTAAGCAGAACCAAGGCCCAGTTACAATCCGCAGAGGTCTCCGCGCTGATATCGATTGTTCCTCGTGCAGAAGATTGGTCATCATTACTTTGGTTGGAAGTTCCTATGACTGTTATCCCATTACAGTGATACCCCAAACCCCAAAACCGCAATCAAAACCAATACATGTTTTGGAGGTCACTATGACTGTTATCGCATTACAATGTATTGCAGACCCAAAACCCTCTTCAAATTGCATCTCATAGGCTCATTCCAACTACAGCAAAAGGTTTCGTTTCAAGGCGTGGGAGGGAGTCGGAGGCAGGGTTTCGAAGAAGACATTCTACAAACTCTACTGTCTACGGTCCACGCGTGTCGTGGCAGGGCCCTGGAATAGCAAGCTAAGGGTAAATGCGTTCGGGCTGCTCCCATCAGTTTTACGTTTGCACTCTACTTACATTCGTAGTTGCTGAAAGCAATGAGAATCATAGCAATATTAATAGTAATAGTAATAAAAGCTATTCGTTTCTCCCGATGTTGCTTCATGGCAGCCCTCTGGGCTAAGGCAAGGCAACCGCACATGCAAACGCATGAACGGTGATTCCCAAAGGTCGGACAAGCTTCTGAAATCCTCCTTGTGCACGTCGAAAACTCCAATGTTGTCCGCAGCATACGGCACAAAGTAAGCAGTTCCGCCTTCCGCCATCACCTCACTCAGCCGATGGCGCACAGTCTGGGCTGCAGCCAAAGAGCGGAAGCGCGGGTGCCGAAAGAAAGCACTAGGCTGCAAGGAGCCACGGTCCAGGACAGCATCCCGCCGTTTGCAGCTACAGGGAGTCGTTTTTAAGGGTTTTGGGGTGTTGTTGTTGAGAATCTGGGTCCGCGAGTTCCTGAAACTTCCAATTACCGCCACGACACGCCGGCGGAGTACTTGGACCCGCCCATCATTCCAGAGGGTAAGGAAACCGTCCGAAAATGCCTCAGCTTCGAGCCGAACGTGACGTGACACAGCGCCGGCAATTGTTATACTATTCATTTTCCACACAACTCATTGGCCCGAAAATAATATAGGGGACCCCAATATAGTATACCCTGAATAGTAGGATCCTTCTTATAGGGACCCCCAAAATAAGGTACGACCCTCATTTTCGAAAAAACTCCCCACATCTCTGCGAGCGTAGAGGCGCCTCAGAGCTCCTCCTCTTTTGAAGACATAGCATACTTAAAGGCTCATGGGACTTAGTAAGTAAGGTTATAAGTAGGTGTGAAGACATAGCATAGCATACTTGAAGGAGTAAGGTTATAAGTAGGTTATAATTAGGGTAACCCCACTTAGGGGACTTATAACCCCAACTATAACCTACTTACTAAGTCCCATGATCCTTTAAGTAGCACCAATCCCACGGACGGAGGGATCTGCGACAGCAGCGCCGTAAAGACCACATTCACATTCACCCTATAACCCAGAGATACCCCAACATACCTCAGAAACACCCGCATAAACCCTAATCACCTAACCCCTCAACCCTCAACCCCAAACCCCGCCCCCCGCCCCCCCCCCCCTTCCAGCCAGGCCCAGCCACTTGGTGGCCGTGTCGAAAATGCCAACATTCTCCGCGTTGAAGGGCACCAGGTACAGGGTACAGCCCCGGAGCCTCGAAACGGTCCCACAGGGCCCGGAGCTAAATCCCACCATATTACATGATACGTATATTTGGTTATTTTGTGATATTATACTGAACTATACTGAATTATGATGCATTATGTGATGCTAAACTGTAGTAAAGATTATACTATACTATACGAGACTGCCTAGTACTACGTTATATTGTACTATGCTACGCTATGATATGCTTTGCTATACTATGCGATACGGTACTATACTGTACTATGTGACACTAATACAGTACTCTATTCTGTAGGAATTGAGCTCGGGCCTGCAAGGCCTTGCAGAAGCCCACGCCGCGAACCCAACAACCAGCTTTACTTGGAGGTTCATAGGAAATTAAGTAGGGCCTCGGGCGTTAGGGTTTAATAGAAGCTTGCGAAACGACAAGTATCGGAGGCTGCAGCCAAGCAGAGTCACGATATCAGTAGATATAGAGACTGAAAGACGAAGGGGTGCAGCCCGTCGGAGGTGGAAGGGGTGGGTCGCCGAAGTCGTCGTAGCACAGTGGTCGACGTAGTGGTTGCAGTAGCTGCAAGTCGCCGTAGTCGCCACAGTAGTCGACCACTGGTAGAAGTGGCAATAAACGCAATAGTCGTAGTAACTTAGTAGTCCGTGTCGCCGTAGCAGTAACAGTACGTAGCAATAGCCACAGCCTACAGACAAGAGCGAGATGCATGGCACCTCCATGGCTTGCAAGCAGAAGCTGCAAAACGAAGGCTGCAGCCCTCCGTGCCGCAGGACCAAGACCAAGACCCGGGCACGCTGCTGCTGTACTTGAAGCCTCGCAGGCTAAAGAAACTTGTCACAAAGCAAAATGTAGAAGGATACCCCCATTGGAAGAAAGCTGGCAGAACTGCCACCACGCCTCCGCCTAAGCCCTTTTTTCCTTAGGCCCTAAACCCTGAACCCGGAAGCCAAACCCCTTCCATTCACTGATCAAGGGGTGGTTTGAAGCTCATTGTCAAGCACAACATACAACAGACTCTACACTACCGCTCAAGTAGAATGTGATCTGAGTTGCTTTCAAGAGAAGACCACAGGTCATGTCCCACGCAAGAACCCCTCCAACTTATCCTACAGAGTGCGCAAAAACCCTACTCTATTACAGGCCCAAGTCACGTAATATAGGGGCCTTAATAATTAGAATACGGTTTTGGGGGCCCATTCTACCATACTTATAATAAAGGAATATTTTATGCGCCTATATTACCATGACACGCGCCGAAAGCCTGAAGTCTCGAACCCGCAGCTCCTTGCGAGTCGGGGCGCTCTGGTGCGAACCATCTGGCAGATCCACAGAGCTAAAGTGCATCAGCGAGGCCAAGTGCTTTAGCCTGGTCTCCTGGCGGTCGTACTGAACTTTGCTTGAAGGCATAACAGTGGCTGGAGATGTCGCAGAGACAGAAATAGCAGTCGCCGTCGTCGTCGTAGTACAGGTACCAGTACTCGTGCTACTGCTACTGCTGCTACTGCTACTGCTGCTACTGCTGCGTTTGCTCCTCTGCTACTGCTACTACCGCTACTGCTGCTGCTGCTGCTGCTGCTGCCGCTACTGCCACAACTGCTACTGTGCCCTGGAAGTTTCGTGTTTCAATTGCTTTCACTCTGGCTTTTTCTGGATTTCGCGGCTCCTTCGGCTTTAGGTTGTCGAGACTCGTTCTTGCAAATCAGAAGTTGGGGTGGGGCCAGTGGTGGGGCGGGGAGTGGGTTCCGGAGTACCAAGCTAGATTTAAGGTGCCCGGTGACAGAAGCATGGGAATTGTTATCCTCACCATCATCTCATCATGTTGGTGATGAGGTCAGATCGCCCCCCCCCCCCCCAGCGACTTCGCAGGTCCGTCAAAGTAAAGATTAGCAAATCCCCTGTTGTTGAGCAGAAGGCATGCACAAAACTGGGTGATGGCCATCGTCGTGGTCGTGGCATTGGGGCGTCGATAATTAGATCAGGAGTTGGAATGTAATAGGGCGTAACTAAATTAAGGACATTAAGGGCACAGTGTTTTCAACTAAACAGACGTCCTTACTAACCCTTGAGCCCTAAACCCTATCCCGCCCAAACCCGACCCTACACCCTAATGAACCCTACACCCTGATACACTTGAAACCCTCACAAGCCCTGAACACTAAACCCTTCTAAACCCGTATAAGCCCGAATCAACCCTTATCAAACCCTGCTAAGCCCTAAACCCTAAACTTAAAACCCTCAACCCTCAAGGAACTTAAACCCTAAACCCTAAAGTTTAAACCCTAAACCCTAGAGGAACTTGAACCCTAAACCCTAAACTTAAAACCCTGAACCCTAGAGGGACTTATACCCAGAAGCCGCACCTGGACCTCGTCTTGGTTCGACTCTTCGAGCCTGGCTGATCGCAGGTTCCGGAGTGTCTTTCGGTGGTCTCTCTCTCTCTCTCTCTCTCTCTGGTTTAGGGTTTAGGGTTTAAGTTCCTTGAGGGTTTAGGGTTCTAAGTTTAGGGTTTAAGTTCCTCTAGGGTTTTGGGTTTTAAGTTTAGGGTTTAGGGTTTAGGTGTTTTTAGATGCCCCCTTTCCATTCGCCAGGGTTTAGGTTTTAGGGCTTAGGATTTAGGTTTTAGGGGAGTGTTTCGGAGTGTCTTTCCGGGGTTTCCCTTACGGTATCTCTTCGGGTTGCTCTGCGGTACCGTTGAGGGACCTATAAGGGCTTCTACTGGTGGTCTATAAGGGTTCCGTAAGGGATTTAGGGTTTTGGGGGGATTGGGGCTTGCAAGTAGGATCCTGAAGGATTCCTTTAAGGGTTCCTTTGTTGAGGGATCCTTTGAGGGATCTACAGGGGTTTCTTTGAGGGTTCCATTAAAAAATCCACAAAAGCTCCTTTCAGGTACCTGAATCACGACCGAAGCGATCACAGGACTATGCCCACGATGGCAGCAGCTCAAGCATTCGCAGCAGCATCGTTAATTAGTCGTATTACAGTACGAGCTTACAAAGACCGTCAACATAAGCAATAGCGACAAAGATAAATAACCCCGCCACGATTTCAAGCAACCCTCACACATCACCATGACCATGCGTGACTGGTTGGGCGGCCATGGTAGGGGGGTAGCAGGGTGGACACCGTATCATTCGTAGCTGTGCACCAACACAAATTCTTGCATGAAGCATTGTAGCAGACCGTCGCTCAGCAGAAATGTGCCCACACCCGTTTTCGAACAAAAACAGCAAAACAAGGAGCGGCAAAGTCGATTCTGCACACGGTCGCTTGGCACAACCAAGCCGGGTCGGCTGGTCTCTTCGCACCTGCTGGCTCAGGGTGTAAAACAATTTCGACGGCATCGGCTTGTTTTCCGCAAATACTTACAAGACCCTATACCCCAAGCGCTATTCCTATTTCAACTCCTGAACGGATGTACGTAGGCTTAGGGCTTAGAGCTTAGGGTTAGGCAGGATTTTTAAAGGACAACGACAAAGAACGGACTAAGGTCCTGGGGCTTCGTAGGTTATATGCACTTCTAAGATCCTAAAACTCAGGCTTCGCCAGAGGAGGTCTCAGCAGTTTGCAGTTGAAACAACTGGCTGCCAAGAACGTGTTGGAGCAAAACTTGCACATGCTAACACAGTTTCTCGGCACATGTGACTTAAAGCTGATCCTAACTACAGGATGCACTTGGCTTCAGCCTCAGCTTTTGAGTTTCATGTCCGGGCTGAAGCCTTTGGGGGCGCGGGTTTGCGATGACAAAAGGGTAGCGGAACAAGCTGCAGAAGCATCGGCAGCAGCAGGGCCAGAGCACTGCAAGATCGTTCCTTTTGCCATCAAAATATTCACGCCCACGGTCGCTGTGGCTGCCCTACTCATACTACGATGACAACATGCATGGGTAGTAATTACTCAAGAACTTCTCACTACACTCTCAAGGACAGCTGCCTATACGAATTACGATACTAAACTATACTAAGCTATACCACTAAGCTAAACTATACTATTAGACACTCAAGGACAGCTGCTTCGCTTCGCAAAGCTCCTCCCTGAATCCTCCAACCTCGGCTCCAAGCTTCACTATCTCTTTCGGATCGCGGTCTACTGCTTTGTCTTTTTACCCTTCGTGTCTATTAGCTGTGCGGTTTATGGTTTAGTGAATAGGGTTTAGGGTATCTGGGCCTGTGAGCAGCGGCAAAACAACCACTCCTTTATGCCGCAAGGGTTGAGGGTTTAAGGTTGTGTTGTAGGGTTTAGAAGTTGTTGACGGTTTAGGGATAACCCCAAGGCATTAACACACCGCCCAGCACGTTCATGGACGGTCCGTTTCTCTAAACAGCACACTTCTCAAGCCCGCAGCTGTAGCATATTGACTTCTCTACAACATCTAAGCCTCTAAGGCAGCTAAAACCCATAAAACCAACCAAACTCCAGAGTTTCTCTGATGACCTGCTGAAGCGAATTGTTCGCGATGATCTTCGCCGCCCGGAGTAGAACCTTGCCGGGTTTACACTTCAGAACTTTGCGGCTTTCTGTGTGACTCCCGAGGCCCTTGACAAAGGATTGCCGGTTAAATGTTTATAAGGATCCCGCCTGATGTAGGCAATGTGGGCTGTGTCGTTCATTGACAGGTTTAAGGTTTAGGACCAACCCGAAAACCTGAAACATCCTAAACCCGCCGCAAACTGTGGGCCAAAATGGACTCAACCTTTTTATGCATCCAGGCAAAGCCCAGACCCCAAACTTCCACAAAACCCTGACCCTGCGAGAATCCCCTGAAACCCGAACTGAACTCCCAACCCAAAACTCCTGAACGTTGAACTCACGAGCTCACGCCTCCACACCCGACGTCCGCGGCCGGTCGGCTAGAACAAGTTCCTCGGTCTTGAACCCACGAACTCCAAGTTCTCCGGTGGCGGACGACAGCTACTAAACGCAAGCATAGCATCACCCCAATTCCCCCCTTCACAACGGCGAATGACTGGGCAGGATGTTCTCAAGTCCCATCTATCCCGACGGTCCCTTGGCAACCGGGCCGTCGTGGTGGAGCTCGTTGTGCGGCTGCTGTGGCTTAGGACCTGAATTTCTTGCAAGTTCCCGGTCCAACAGCGGCTTGACGGGTTTCAGGAGGTCTTTATGGCTTCTTTGTTTTGCAGTCCCGAATTTGCGCAGTTCTGAAGCTTCGGAAGATGCCACCCAGAGACCCCCAAAACCCCCAGCCGTAAACCCGAGATCCGAATCCCTTTAACCTCAGATGAACTCCGAGATCCAAAATCCCAAGACTCCGCATCCCAAAGCCCAAAACCCTAAATTATAAAACCTTTTGCAGCTGGGCTCTTAGTGTCAGCCAGCAGTTCTAAACCCTAAACCATCAACTCTGAACCATACTCCAAGCCCCAAACTCTAAACCCCAAGCCCTACGCCCTAAACTCCCCTGCAAAGCGTGTGTTTCTGAGAGTTCCACGACCCGCGACGAGTGGCGGCTGCCCTTTGCAAACTCTGGAGCGCGAGGCTTCAGCAGAATGCGAAGCCCTGAAGCCCCAGAGACTCCAATATCCCTTAATTAAGGAATATTCCTTAAATCATATTAGGGATCCTACGATAATTTAAGGAATGTTCCTTAATTAAGGGATATTGGAGTCTCTGGGGCAGCAGCACCATGCAATGTCTCCTGTGCCTTCACTTCCGTGCCGCGCGCGTGCCATGTGTCAGGCATGCAACGAAAGCAGTGCGGATGCACAAGCGACCCTCAAGCAGGAGCTGGCCAGGGTGCTCAGAAGACTCGGGAGGGGGGAGTCTCAAAGTCAAGCGAACTCCTCTAACCACAGGTTCCTTCTTTGCACAACGCCAGAGGGTCTCTAACAACTCCAGAGCTGGCACCAAAATCCATGTCACCCGCTTCACAGTCAGCACCTTGTTCTTCCTCTTTTGGCTCTCCGGCTGTTTCCTTTTGCAGCATCTTTTAACCTAGCCCCTCCCCCTGGTTGTGAGCATTGCGGCCAGTGGGCTCAGGCTGCTACAACGGAGCAGCTGCAGGCCGCGACAGACATGGTGTCGGAAGCTCTCTGTGCTTCCGTCAACATGTCTGTCGCGGCCTGCATTCTCCATGGCCGAAGACGAGAAAGATCCCTGTGGCAGGCTCTGCAGATCAGCTGGGAAGCAGCACTGCCAAACTAAATCTGGGCAGACCCTTTTTTAAGCACGGACTGGGAGTGTATGCCGGCAGCGAAGCTCTCTGGCAGAGCCTTCCTCAGTCACCTTCTGCCCAGACCCTACACCCTAAACTCTAAACAGTAAACCCTAAACCGAAAAAAAATCCTAAGCCCTAATATATAGAAATCTAAGCCTTCACCTCTCGACCCTTTTTTACACCTGGACTATGCACCTAAACTCCCTCCAAGCCCTGGGCGACGAGGTTCGTCGAGGCGTCGGGCTCCCACTGGCCCTCAGAGAGGCCTCGGAGTTTTTACTATGGGGGGCCTAAATCACCCACTGCCCCAAAGCTCAAGGAAATAAAAGTTGAAACTTTCAGAATAAACTATATACCTTATAAGAACCGTAAAAGTTGAAAAGTTGACTTTACAGCCACTAAGATAATCAATTATTACTATTTCGCTGGTTCCTGATTATAGCTATAGTGTAATGGGCCCCAAAACCCTATTCTAACTATTCTTGGCCCTCTATAGGGATGTTCAAGGTTTAGGGCTTTGTGGGTTCAAGGTTTAGGGCTTTTGGGTTGTTTCCCCTCCTACTTAGGGTTTTGTGGCTTTTTTTGGGGTTTGTGGTTTTTTTGGCTTTTTGGGCTTGGGGTGTAGGGTTTAAGGTTCGGGGGTTTATGGCTTTTATCGTTTGGGGTTCAGGTTGAAACCTTGGGGGGCCACGGTTCAGGGTTTTTTTAGTTTGCAGGTTCAAGGCTCAAAGCTGAAAGAAAGCCAAACCATGACTTACCTCATTCATGCGCTACACAGGGTGCCTCTTTGGGATGAAGTCGCGGATTTTAGACGCCCGAGATTTGAGATTGCCTTTGCTTGGGCTAAAGCCGAAATAAGGGGCAAGGTTCAAACTGCTGTCGGCGTTGAAAACTCAGTGGTTCCAAGGTTCAGCTCTCGCAACTCGGACACAGCCAGACGAGGTTCTTGGTGCGCGGGCGGACTACACAGACGGTTCCTCCGACAGGGGGGCATTGGCCTGGAACACCTCCAAGGCGCACAACCACACGGGGCACGACAGCCAAAAGAGCGGCGACGGCACGCTCCCCTCAGCTCGGCTCCAAAGTCAAATTCCTATCAACCCTGAACCCCTTTTATTCCTGTAGCTCCTAAATTCTGACTAACCTATCCTTCGTCCCCAAACCCCGAGCAACCTCCTCAAAATCAGACCCCGAATCTTAAAATTCCCTTCTAGAACCCTCACAGCAACCCTGCTAAACCCGAAGGGATCTTCTCGAACCCTCATAATGAACCCTAAACCCTAAACCCTAAATCCCCCATTCGAACCCTAGATCTGGGGCCCCCGAACAACCCGCAGGCTTCAGCTGACATCGATCGACCTCCTTAGGCAAGCTTCCGAAAGATCGTGCAGGTCCTTGCGTGTGTAGAAAAGACAGACCCAGATAGTTAGACTCTGGGGCCAGTATACTTGTATAAGTACTGTAGAGACTGTAAGAGAATAGGAACAACACGATGGCTGCTTGTTGCGGCCACGATAAAACATGTCCATATGCATGAAGGGTTTGAAGAGCTTCGAAGAATTGAAGTTTCGGATGCTGACCCCTATGGGATACTGGAGTCTCGTGCAGCGTGGTGCGTCGAGTGCGGCCCCCGTTCAAGGCCAAAGCCTCAACCTCTTGCCTTGACCTGAGGTGTCAAGTATACTGGCGCAGCGGCCCCAACACGAATTTTGTACATCCGGCTCCCTTAAAACCCTAAACCCTAAACCCTAAACCCTAAACCCCAAACCCCAAACCCTAAACCGTTTAACTCTCGATCAAACTCCAAGCCTGGAAGAACCCGAGCGGCAGATCCTCAACCCTAAATCCCATATATATATATATATATATATATATATATATATATATATTATATATATATATATATATATATTATATATATATATATATATTATATATATATATATATATATATATACATACATACATACCCTAATCCCTGGATCAAGAAGCAACCCCATCCCGAACGTTCAAAGCCCTCCCCATTGACTCTCTTCTTCAACAACCGGGCCCCAAAAAGTTCAAACTTTCTAAGATAGAGCCAATATATAAGGCCAAAACGTTTAAAGTTCCCCCGTTCACGATCTAAGCTGAGAGCCTGCGACATCTCCACAGCGTGACCTGGCCATCGACACCCCACGGCCCTTTCTGAGGAAGTCTATATTCAGAAAACTCGAGAACTACCCTGAAGCCCACAAAGCCGAAGGCCCAAAGCCGAAATTCCCCAATCCTTTTGGTTTAGACCGAACGATCTCCGACGGATTGGGTGTTCAGGCCTTTCCGAGCAGTGCAAGCAGCTAGCTTGGCTTAGGGTGTAGAGCTCGGCTTCGGGGACGGATCCGTAAGAAGGTTGTAGGCCTCATTTCGGGAAGGAAGTGCCGGGTTAAAGCTGCCTTGCAGGGCTTGCCTTGGGCTGCGGGCTTTTTTCCCTCCTACCTAGCAAGGACGAGGCCCGCATTGCAGGGAGTCTTGGATGAACTGCTGAACAAGCTGTGAGATTCATCACAGCAAAACATGTGTTCGAGGCATAAGTAACTTGTTGACTCACAACCCAGACAAATGATCGCCCAACTACCGTAGCAGCAGTCAGAACGAGCTCATCACGAACTCGAAAGAAGTCACCAGCCCAGCATATGCGCCAGTCGTATGGCTGCGGGCTTAGTAGCTTGAGTTTCGGAGGTCTTCGGCCGATTGCCCTCGGTGGCTAGCTGATGTAGAGCGCCCGGGCTCCGATCCGAAACCCTAAGCCCTCGGCGACTACGGGAGCTTGGAGAACCCGGGGAGGTTGAAGACACAACTACAAGAGCAACTCGAAGGGCGAGAAGTTTGGGAGTCAGGTTGATCCAAGCTCCCGAAAATCACAAAATGAGCTTGGCCAATCGCATGCAGGGAGGGAGATGTCCCTCAAAAAAGAGGGACTTAGCTTCAGGCACCGAGCACATCGACTCTTAGGCAGCCACGTCGTGGTGGATGCAGGGTGTATGTGAGAGGCTTTCCGGCTTCTCGGGGCTGTGTTAAATTTGGGCCAACACAGATTGAGATTTACTTCTTGCTGGTATGACCATGATCAAACTGCCCATTGCTACCCATACAATCCCTACTGACCGTCACTCATCACTGTGATCATAATTGTCATCGCCATCGTCATCATCATCAGCATCATCCTTGGTTTGGTTTCGGCTCCCGTCGTTCGTGCTCCGTCAGGTCGTGATTGTGACCACGAAAGTTCACAACAGCGGAAGCAGCAGAAGTGTAGCATCGCAGCAGTAAGAGTAAGAGCGGCGACCGCATCAGCACAAAGCCTTACCTACTCCGGCTCTTCCGTACCCAGCTCAGGACCGCTATGCTGCAAAATCTGGCCGGGCAGGCAATCCTGCGTCTTGTCACAAAGCCTAGCGCAAGCGATCCAGCTTCGAATTAGATTTCGGGGTGCGGATTTCCGCTTTTCGCTTCGGGCTAAGTGGTTACACGGTTCAGGTGCTTCCCGCCTATCGGTGTTTGCTATAGGGCCCTAATCATTGGGGTGGGGTTTTGGGGCCCATTGTACTATATTTGTAAAAAGGTACCCCCAAAATAGTATTGGTAATTATTACTAGCATAGAACTCGTATAGTAGCCCTTATAATACCTCTTAGAGAGCCCTTTAAATGTAGTTATATGGGTGGTTGTCAAAATTATGGTCCCTTTTTGGATACCCTAAATAATAGGTGCCGTATTGTACTAGGTGCCCGAAAAGGAACCATAATTTTGACAACCACGCATATTAAGGCTCCTAAAGTAGGGTGCGGGACCAGGCTTCGGGCTGCTGGCTGAGCCTGTTGAGCTCAGGGCGTTGACTCTGAAGACTCCTGCTTTTTTTTGGGGGGGGTTGCGAAAATAGGGGCCATACCCTAAATAGTAGGATTCTTGGATCCTAGTGTAGATGTGGGGGTTTCCGAAAATAGGGGGCCCCTCATACCCCAAATAGTAGGATTCTTGGATCCTGGTGTAGATGTGGAAGTTTCCGAAAATCGGGGGCCCCTCATACCCTAAATAGTAGGATTCTTGGATCCTAGTGTAGATGTGGGGATTTCCGAAAATCGGGGGCCCCTCATACCCTAAATAGTAGGATTCTTGGATGCTCGTGTGGATGTGGGGGTTTCCGAGAATGGGGGGCCACTAATACCCTAAATAGTAGGATTCTTGGGTCCTCGTGTAGATGTGGGGGATTCCGAAAATAGGGGGCCTAATACCCCAAAATAGTAGGATCAGTACCAAAAGGACCCCAAGAATAAGGTACCTCTAATGTTCGGAAGCTCCCTTGTCGCTTCAGGTTTGGGCAACCTAAACCTAAACCGAACCCGAAGCCGAAACCCCCTAAATCAGAAGGAACCATCCAGGCTTTCGGGTTTAGGGTTTGGGGGTTTAGAGTGTAGAGTGTAGGGTTTAGGGTTTAGGGTGAAGTCAAGAACCTGTATCAAATCTTCCGACGCGAAGCCCACAAGAAACCTGTAAGCCTAAACAATCGCGCACTTCAACCATGCTCCATCTTCGGGCATCCACGGCACAGGTTCTGCGGCATGGTCCAAGGTTTGGGATTTCAGGTTTTGAAGTTTCAAGTTGCTTGGTTTTGGCATTTTGGGTTTTGGGTTTGGCGATTAGCGTTGACAAGCCGGGACCCTAAGCATGAGCTGTGACAAGGCTTCTTGTTCGAAGCGTCATGGCTGCCCATGAAGGTCTGACACAGCCCACATGTGATGTGAAGTAGCACCCGAAGCCCTAAAAAGATTCCTAAAACCTCAAACCCCGAGAACTCTCAACCTTAAAAGAACTCTCAACCTTAAAAACCCGAACTTGAGGGCTTGGCTGCATGCAGCGGTTGACGTCCAAGCAGATGGCCGACCGGCCACTGCGGAAGGACCTCGTTTCAGGGGTTCGGATTTCAGGGGGTTGCTTCAGAGCTTAGGTTTTAAAGATGTAGTTTATGAGAGCTTGGGGTTCAAGATGTAGGGACAGGGTTTGGGCCTCTAGGAATTGGATTCAGAGTTTGTGTGTAGGGGCGGCAAAGCCTGGAGGGTTTCAAGTAGTGTCAGCTTGTTGAACCCTAATATAGTACCCCAAATAGTAGGATCCTGATTATAAGGATCCCAAAATAAGATACCCCTAATTCTCGGAAACTCCCATATTCATGGTGACGCACATTCATGGCTCAGAGCTCCGACTGTCGCTGCTCTCCTTTAACTTTAGAACCCTTTTCCCTTCATTCTGAACCCTTCTGTGGCTGAATGTTGGCGTGCAACTTCTAGCCGGCCATTGGCCGGCGCGATCTTTTGTCTGCTACATGGGAGTTTCCGAAAATTAAGGGATACCTCATTTTGGGGTCCCTCTAATAAGGATCCTACTATTTAAGGTACTACATTAGGGTGCCCCATTTTCGGAAACCCCCACATCTACACCAGGATCCAAGAACCCCGAAGGCAGACTTTTGGATCACTTTCGGCTCTTCTTCCGCTTGCCACCGGCACGTGCCGTAGCTTCAACCTCGGGCGGATCGGAGAGGGACTGGAAGGTGCCAAGCGCAGGGTTCATGACACTGCTGTACAGCGTAATGCCCTTTTCAAAGATAGGGTACTTCCAGAGAATCGCCCAGAGGTCGGACTCTTCCGGGCAACCCCGCTGCTTTTCGGCAGCTTGCAACATGGACTCAGCTAGCTGACAGCGCACCAAGGACTGCTGCGTGTCGTTGGCCGGATCCGTATCCCAGTGATCCATATTGGCTTGGATCAGAAATGGGGCCTCCTCAGGGACAGACTGCTCGGGAAGTTAACCCTCGGGAAATGTCGACGTGGCAACCGCATGTCAAGCTGCTCTCTATGCAGGGGTCGAAGTCTCAAACACGTACCCAGAGAGCCCAATACCCCTTAATTAAGGGATATAGCTTAAATCCTAATCTCAATCCCCTTATAATGTAAGGTATATTCCTTCATAAAGGGGTAATTTAAGGATTTAAAGTATATTCCCTCATTAAGGGGTATTGGGCTCTCAAGGCCGTTTTCTCCCAGCCTCCAACTCCCGTCTGGCCACTTCCCCGCAAGGCGCGTTCCGAGTCACCTGCACGGCCTCGCCAGCGGCTGAGACCACCTGGACATGATTGTGTTTAGGGTTTATGGTTTAGGGTTTAGGGCTTCGGCGCTCACAAAGGGTTTAGCGTTTAGAGTCCGGAAATAGGAGAGACCAACGCTTTTTTCCCTTCCTACCCAGCAGTAGGGTTTAAGGTGTACGGTTCTGGAAGCCCTCTAGAAGATGTGCGTGCATCCTCCGTGTGTCGGTTTCTGCCTTGCTGCCTGCTGAGCAGCAGTAGGATAGCTACAGTCATAGCCCAAATCAAAGGACGTATAACCCCACTTATAACTTCCCATGAACCTCCAAGTGTAGCACGAAACTGAAGGTCTTCGGGGGATACACACACAGACACAATACTTCGTCCTCAAGCGAGGCTTCTCCTCCTGGCCTGCATTTGGAATCGTATGAGTAATGCTGTAGTGTTTATAGCACCACCCACATCCCAAACTCTCCGAAAGCCCAGCAACCCCAAACCCGAAGCTCACCATTGGGAATGGCATCTGCCGATTTCCCAAAATCCCAAAAACCTCATACCCACACCCAAGACTCCCGAAAGCCCTGCAACCTGAAACCCCTAAACTGAAAACCCTCAACCCTAAACCCCTAACCCTCAACCCTAGAACCTATTTTCTAACTTCCTAAACCCCTACACCGAAGGGCCCACCAGGCAGTAGAACGGTGCCATGGACGGAACCGAGGCTACGAACTGCAGGAAGTCGCTGTAGGAGCGGCTCTGCTCCAAGGCGAGCCTTGCGGAGCACGGTTTAGGGTTTAGGGTTTAGGGGGCTTCAAACGTTCAGTGTTTTAGACGTTTTTTGAGCTCCTTTTTATGTCTTCGTCCAGGCTTACTGTCTTACAGGGGTTTTGGGTTCTAGAGTTTGGGGGTTAAGTCTTTTGGTTTTGGGGGTTTTTTGTTTAGGGTTTAGTCAGGGGTTTAAGGTTTAGGGTAGTCGACTCCAAAAAAAAGCCATGGATGTCCTAGCTTTCTAGTTGCTTAGGATTTTTTGGGTGGTGTTTTGGGGCTCCAAAGTTAGATCAGACGAAATTGACACGAAGAGACAAAGACGAGCCCAAGGTAAGTCAAAGAGCAAAAAAGGTGAGATCGGATCAAGGTAAGATAGGTTGAGGATAAGATAACAGACACTGCAAGACTAGACAAAGCCAGACGACAGCAGAAGATAGGACGAGAGACAATCAGAAAAGATAATGGCGATCAACACGACAGGCCAGGACAGACAAGACAGAGCAATCTGCAAATTGAACAGGATAGGCATGCAGCTCGGGTGAAATACGAAGCTGGGGATGTGGATGAAGGCTACGATCAGGAAAGAGCAAGGCACAACGAAATAAGGGTTCCTGCAACATACAAACAAAACTAGACTGGACGAAACAACAGCAGTGACATCAGAACAGGTCAGCTCAGACCGAATGCGGTGAGACTACATGAAAATCCCGATTAAGGTCACGGTCAGATTGGCATTGAAGTTGCGATCAAGCTTCAGGCCGAAGATCAAGACCAAGATGACAGGGTAAGTTACAAGTCCCCAATATACTGCATTGGGTAGCTCTAAACGGGGCTACAAGTCCCTTAATACGCGTTCAAGCTTTGGTTATCCTACTTATAGACCCTAAGGAAAACTAACCATGAACCTCCAAGCAGCTGCTGACATGGGGATTTCCGACAGCAGCGGACCCTAATCTAGAACCCTAAAGTAGGATGATTACTATAAGTACCGAAAATTAAGGCACCTCTCATTTTCGGAAACTCTAAACCCTAAACCCTTTATAGCACCCTTATAGATCCCTTTAAGGAACCTTTAAAAGATCCCTTCAGCTACCGACATCTTTCCTCCCGAAACACTCAACAACTGAGTTGGCCTTTAAGCCCTTTGAAAATTATTTACAATTATGGCTCTCTACAAAATACTAGGGGAGATTAAAAAAGATCTCAAAGGACAACCCGGACAAAACAAATTCTGAGGCGCCAACCTCACCGCCAGGCCCACCGGCAAAGGCAGTTCGGAGCTGCTCTCCGAGCCTTGTCTGACTTCTGAAGAGCTCCAACAAAGTGAACTTTTAGTCTCCTTATTTATGGTTCATATAGAATCCAAAAAAAAACGTTTAGTCTCCTTATTATAGTTCATATAGAATCCAAAAAAAGTAACTTTTAGTCTCCTTATTATGGTTCATACAGAAACCCCAAAAGTTAAAGTTCGAAGAGCCAAGGAGCCTTCGCCCTGCTCCTGCGTAAAAGCTAGGGGTTTGAAGCTTTGGGTTTAGGACTTGGGCTTCAGGGGTTTAGGGGCTTTTGGGGGGCTTTTGGGTTTGGGTTCCGGGCTTGAAGTTTAAAGGTTTAAGCAGTTTGTATAGCATACACATTGCTAGCAGCCTTGTCAGCATTGTCAGTCTTCTTGCGGCTGTTGCACTGATTCACCGATCCTCCCACCCCTACAGACCTCAAAAACCACCAACCAGACCTGAAATGCTCAGAAGGCCTGGCCCTTTTGGCATCCAGGTCTCTTCGACATGCCAGCTACCCCCCAATAAGTCAAACCAAAAAGTCTCACGAATCGTCTGGCCCCAAACCCAGGAACTGTAACCCGTAACCCTAAACCCGAAACCCTAAACCCCATACTCTGAACCAATACGTAAGGCACCCTGGAATGGAAAGGTTCCCGGAAGTTCACGGCCACGGCATAGTGGCCCGGGCGCTGGGCAGTCAGAAGGCCGATATACCTCCGTTGTTGTTTTCTTACTTTTAGCCCCTGTAGTTGTAGCTACTATCAATAGAAGGCGTAGTAGTAGTCGTCGTCGTCGTCGTAATAGTAGTAGTAGTAGTAGTAGTAGTAGTAGTAGTAGTAGAAGTAGAAGTAGAAGTAGAAGTAGAAGTAGAAGTAGTAGTAGTAGTACTACTACTATTGTAGTAGTAGTAGTAGTAGTAGTAGTAGTAGTAGTAGTAGTAGTAGTAGTACCGCATCCCCCCCCGGTGCGACGCCCCAGACCTCTTATTCTTGGGACTTGTTGTGGCCGGAAATGCAGTGTTTTACAGCACTTTTTTCCGCAGTTATCGAAAGTGGCAACTGTTCCTGGTTTCGTGTGTATTTTTATCATGTTTTCTGACATTGTTCATCAATCTCGCACCTCAAAATGCTGGTATTTACAGCACTTGTCTTTGAGAATTTCATGATTTTTTGCTGTTTTTGGAAGTCTCGATTTTCCTGCCCAAAACCTAGCGATCAGAATGAAGGTTTTTATGGCCTAATATTGATCATGATGCTCATCCAAATCGTTGGAAAACAGAGCATCCATGCCCAAAACCTAATGACGTCCATGGTCTAGCGCATCGAGGTTTGGAGAGCATCCATGTCCAAAACCTAATGACGTCCATGGTCTAGCGCATTCTGGTTTAGAGAGCATCCATGTCTCAAACCTAATGACGTCCATGGTCTGGCCCATGTTGGTTTGGAGAACATCCATGTCCAAAACCTAATGACGTCCATGGTCTAGCGCATTGCGGTTTGGAGAGCATCCATGTCCAAAACCTAATGACGTCCATGGTCTAGCGCATTGAGGTTTGGAGAGCATCCATGTCCAAAACCTAATGACGTCCATGGTCTAGCGCGTTTTGGATTGGAGAGCATCCATGGCCAAAACCTAATGACGTCCATGGTCTAGCGCACTGAGGTTTGGAGAGCATCTATGTCCAACACCTAATGACGTCCATGATCTAGCGCATTGAGGTTTGGAGAGCATCCATGTCCAACACCTAATGACGTCCATGGTCTAGCGCACTGAGGT